TATGACCATTAGAGCAAAAATACGCACATTCTTTGATTTGTTTTATCACATTTAATAAAATAAGTTTCCACAGTTGTAATTATTTAGAAAAATTAAGATCAATTTCTTAGCTGGTGTAAGAAAGAGAAATATATAAATAAAAAAAAATTATAGCTTCCATAATTGTAATCCTCTTTCATTTCACTCTGGGAAAATAATGTGCAATAAAAAAAGAAAAATTTAGTCTTCTTTATTCCTCCGAAGTTATAAGAAAGGTTTGCGTTTTGGAACCCTACCCAAATAAATTTGCGTGAAAAAAATGGAAGATTAATTTTAAGAAATCGATCTCGTAAATATCTTTGATTTTCTATTAATAAAGTCTCAAACTTCTCATAAAAATATACATGTATAGCGAAGATTAAATTTGTGAAATTATGAAACACAGAACTAAATGATCATTATGCCTCTGACCGTCGATATCAGGGGCACAAAAAGCGATTAGCTCAATCTTTACCAATGTCTTTTGTCGTTTGCTAGTGTCAACAAAGTCTTAAACAAAATGATCTTTTTATATCAAAAAGTATGATTGACAAGAAAGTGGTATTTGAATTAACAGATGTCTACATACATGTACGATAGTATCGTCTTTCCCCTTTCTAGTTACATATAAAAATTTTAACCTATAGAAAAATAAAACCGAATGAAAATAGCTTCTCAGTCTAATTACATAAGTTTTTCCTGAGAATGATTGGCAATATTAACACATTCGAAGTCGTGTGTGCAAAAAATATAGAAATATAGAAAAAATAGTATTGTTTCACATTGTGTTAGAATAAGTACCATGCAAAATTCGTATGACCGTATCTATAGTGGCGAGTTTATAGGGGAGGGGGTTACAGGGTTGTAACCCACTCTTTAAATTTGCTAGCCTATAGGAAAAAATTCTGCTGTCTGATACGAGATCCATTGAACTTTTGGAAAATTTAAAATCACAAAATTTTTACCAAAATCAATAACATAAAATCTAACAACTTTTCAACTCCGTATACAACCATTCCCCACGATGAATTAAAGTCCAGGCTTTTTGACATCATTGACAGCTGCCTTTTCGATAAAAATGAAACTCGTAAATTTACTTACCTTGTCATTGGTCATTTGCAAAATTATTTTGGTAAAAAACATTCTGATTGTAAACACAAGTACTCTGAAGTTGATATTAAAAAGATATTTTAGTTTCTTATTGAGAATATCTATGTGGTTTTTGAAAAACAGGTCTTTCAACAATCTGTTGATATTCACATGGGTACTAATTACACCTCGTTATTTGCAGACTTATTTTTGTATTCATATGAAGCAGAATTTATTCAAAATCTTATACATGAGAAAAAGAAAACACTTGTAATGACCTTCAACTCGACAATTAGATACATCGACGACGTATTATCAATTAACAATAGTTACTTCAAATCATATATCGACACGATATATCCTAGGGAGCTTGAAATTAAAGATACCATAAAGTCTGACACATCTGTTCCATACTTGGACATTTTACCATAAAAGACGCTAATGGTAACGTAACAACAAAGCTTCATGAAAAACGTGATGACTTTAACTTTTCAATCGTCAACTTCCCTTACCTATGCAGCAATATACCCTTATCACCTGCATACGGGATTTATATCTTTCAGTTGATTTGTTACGCAAGAGCATGTTCAAGAGCATGAAAAAATTCTAAAACGAGGTAAGTTATTGACAAACAAGTTGATGAAACAAGAATATCACCAGTCTCGTTTAAAGTAATCATTTGGTAAGTTCTATGATCGATACAATGACCTTGTCAGCAAAATATCAAATGCTGACTGACATTTTTCCTGCTAATTTTAGGCCATTATTTACGAACTGAATTCTCGATGGATTTTGCCGTAATTTCCCGATCATGACAAATACATGTAGCACACGGCGGGTGTGATTTGTCGGCAGGGGATACTCACTCCTCCATGGCACCCGATCCAATCTCTTATGTTTTAGAGGTCCTTGTTTGCCCGGCTCCTCATTTGTATTGTTTGAATGGACTTTTGAGATTTAATACTGTTCGTTATCACCATCTTTCATGATATGAATCATTTTCCGCTTATGTACGACATTTGGGGATCTATATGGGCTTCGGTTTTTAAGGTCGCAGTCGAAAGACCATTGACTACATTTTTTCTGTTGCACTCCTGGCATGGTATAACATTTTTTTCAACATCAGCCATGACCGTAATTGGTCAAACAAAAGTAGTTACAGTCTACATTTAAAGTTCAATACTTTGAATATTATCAAGAAAGTCTTTATTTCCAACATAAACCAGTATTCTTTATTTCACAAATCTTCAAAAAAAAATATTGAATTTACAAATTGTCACAAAAAGGTGTTGCACTCCTGACATTTTTAGCATCATTTTTTGGCATAACTTTTTTGTTAATTGAAATATCAATGAGATATTTGGCAGGTATTTAGACACTATGAAAAGACATATGCTGAGACATAGAAATTTATTCCCTTTGCCTGTACTTTTAGTGCAAGTTGAAAAATATGTGTATGGTCAATTTTTTTTAAAATTTACCCTTATTTATTTATTTTTGACGTACATGTATCTTGTAGAAGCTTCCATGATGTAAATTTCCATTACCTGCACTGCGGTAAAAACTCGGTCAATTCCATCACTGTCGAATACCAATGAATACAAATAAGAGTTAGCTGATCCCGCCCACAATGTGACGTTAGCCGTACAATATCTCATCGACAGGTCCAATATCTCACTCTGCCGTCAAACATCGATGTTTTATGATTGCTCTCTAAAACATCGGAAATATTTGACTTTTTGAGTATAGATTTATAAAGGAACTAATTTTTAAAGGTATAACAATATACATTTATTGACTGGCACCGAGAGCAACATGCATTTTGTCGGACCCAAGAACCAAACTGTTTGCCTGAGGCCGTTAGGCCTCAGGCAAACAGTTTGGTTCAAAGGGTCGACAAAACACATTTTGTCTGAGAACACAGTCAATAAATGTTTTGTTATACCTTTTATTTTTTTTTTTTTTGACATACATGTATCTCGTGCTTGCTTCTGTGGTGTAAATATCCTGCATTAAAACTCGGTCAATTTTGTCACTGTCGCACATAGCTGTAGATCTGTAGCTCGCTGGACTGGAGAAAATTGGGATGTACGACCAGAGAGCTATGTACATCTGATTCCGCCCATAGCGTGACGTAAGTGGACCAATATCTCATCGACAGGTCCAATATCACACTCTGCCGTCAAACATCGATTTTTTATGACCGCTCAGTAAAACAATGGAAATGTTAGACTTTTTTTTTAAGTAAAGATTTATATAAGAATCAATTTTTAAAGGTTTAGCAATTGGTGATTTTTTAAATACCTTGACTGCAATGATTATCTATTAAGGTTGCGAAATGGACCTTATATTTTGTTTGTGGATTCCTTAATGAATAATAATTGATTGATTTATTGTATGTTGTTTTACGTTCCGTTCGAGAATTTTTCACTCATATAGAGATTACAGTTATATAAAATTTGGAAATAATAGGTGAATACACAAGAAATAGTTACATTTAATATATAAAAAAAAAGTTCATGTATGAATTGGAGAACATAAAATATAACAATCTGAAATCCATAGTAAAAATACCTTGATTTACTATAGTAAAAATACCTTGATTTACTATAGTAAAAACTTTGATACTATAGTAAAATAATTAACTATAATAAACTAGTATTTTTTTGTTAGAGTAGTTTTAAAAAAGTAAAATTGGTGTGTACTTTGACGTAGTTCTCTTGGTTTTATACTCGTCCTTATCTTTCTCTTTTGATGCTCAATTTTAAAAAAAATCAGATGGAGAGGGACAAAAGAGTCGATCCTAACCTCCACTGTATTACCTTCAAAGTCATTAAGGGGTTTTCTTAAGTTAGAGATTCATCAACTTAAGTTTCATTGCAAAAGTTAAAAGAGAACTTAACATTTAGAGTCATTCCATGCAATATATGAATTTCTGACCTTCGCCTTCAACTTTTTTGGCCTCAGAATTTATAGGAGTCTTTTTTAAGTCACAAAGAATATCATATAACATTTCATAGCAAAAGGACGTTTAAAGATACCATTACAGACATAAATATTGACACACTGACAGACAAACAGAGGAAACTAATATCGCCCACTTTGAGCGAAATCGGGGAATAAAAGGGAGGCCCAAACTAATAAGTTTGCCTACATTTTGAAAATCTAAATTATGAAATATGTTATTACCCGTCAAGCACTAGGAACTTTTTAAATTGTGTCGAAATATTTGAGACGACTAATAAGCCGTCAAGTCGCTGTGCCTCGTTCAACACAATCTGTCATGATCTTAGTTCGGTGTGCATTGTCCATGTACGGACTATACAGGGTGATGCGAAATTTTGAGCATAAAAAATAAATAGAAATTTTATTTCAAGTTTTACTCATGAAATAGTGAAAAAATAATATAATTTTAACCCTACATAATCACTCTGAATTTCAAAGAAAAAGTTAAGAGGTTGGCTAAGAATTTTAATAGAAGAATTTAGTCGCTAGTTCTCAGTTATTAAATTTCATTATTTAAGTTGATTTTCGCTTCGCAATTGACATGGATTTAATTTGAAGGTTTATAATTCTACTATCATGCAGTGTGATTTTTCCCCAGAAAAGGAAATTACTGCCATTAAACACAAAATTTCATGGTATATCAGCAAGAAAACAGACCAAATGTTTTGAAAATATCAAACAAACTAACAAGGAAGATCAACGTTTGTGCATTTTTTTCAAAAAGCGTAAATAACTTTTAACAGGAAATGTTGGAGCTCAATCATCGAGGTTTACATGTAAGTAGCGGGACCCAATACGTCATCTTCAAATCTGAATTGATGTATTACAAGACGAAAGCGATAAAAACCTTTGTTTCATCAATTAAAGCACTAAGCACTCAAATGTTCACTCAAATTAAAAAGATCTAAAAAGATTTTGTTAAAATTTACAAGGACAGTGTCCGATCTTTTTTCACTACTAAACCAAAAGATGGTGAACATGGGGTCCTTCTACTCTCTGAACATGATTATTTTTTGTTGGATTTTTACTTTCACCGAGGCAGAAAACGTAACCGGTAAGGTATTCATAATGATATAAATCATTATGTATCGAAATATTTTTGATGTATTAATATTTATTGTATTTTTATTACTTAAGATGTTTTCGACAATCGATGATACTACATAAATTATATTTAGTCTTATTATTTATATGCTACAATACGACTTAAAAAAGAAAATAATCCGTAACTAAATTTTCAATTTCTTTCTAAATCTGATTTCGTCATGGAAACGAGCATTCATATATTTGCAAGAAACAACTTAATGTGACTCATTTAATTCATAAACGGTTTTATGTGTATTTATCTTTTTTCCTAATATGTCCAAGTACCATTCATCTATTGATCAACTGATTTCCTCAATGAAATGGAACAGTCATATTCTGTCTGACATTGTTGTCTATCTGATCTGTTCTATCTTTCTTTCTGTCCTTCTATAATTATATGCATAACTTTCAAATTTCTTATTAGAAAAAAAACCCCAGAACTTTAAAAAATCCTATGGTATTAAAATGTGTTTAGATATTGACTCTAGATTCCATCTCCATGATTAATGTAATTGTGCATTGAAATGTTCTCTTCAGATTAAAAATCGTGAGCCATGCAGCTCTGTAACCCTTGATTTGAATGATTCCGACTCGGGTATTTTGAAGCTTTTGATTTTGATATAGGCCGGGTCGTTGCATCAAGGTCAAGCAGCAATTTTCAATAATTTGGTTAGTAGAGAAGTATCCACTGCTTTTGTTTAAAACAATAGAAACATAAAGTTACGTTATTACTTGTAGAAGAATTCTTTCATAAAGTATAAGTTGTATACCATATACATGTATAGCTAAAAGCATATATTTCAAATGAAAACGACATTAAAATAGTGTAGAGTATAATAAGCAATGAAGGTAGACGCCAAGCACTTTCTGTGTTAAGATTTGAAACACAAGTTTGAACCATACATGTTATTCTTCATTTTTTGAAAAGAAAATCTTTTCCAAACAAGTCTCACCATCAATAACATTCTGTCGCATCTATAAACAGGGAACACTTTGTTGGATTTTTTTTTTACTACGACATTATCTTTATCGTTTTCTTACTGTGCAGAACTACAGATTTATACATTTTTTTATTATGTCACCCTGAAAGAAGTCAGGCGACATAATTATTTTATTGCTAGACCTATAATTTTGTTCATGCATATTCTCACAGATGTCTTCGAAAATCACAACAAAACTTCACTGAAATTAAAATCACTAACTGTAGTTGTGTTTCCACATTTTTATATATTTGAAATAGACGAAATATGACATATATTATATTTCAATTTCATTATTCTTAGTAACTGCTAAGCATTAAAGGATTCTTTCTTGCATCATGTCAGAGTGGTGTGTGTTTTTCACTGTCGCCATGGATAGAACGAATTAGTTTTCGTGAGACTTTCTTTCGAGTCACTTGATCCTAGTGCAACGACATTTGTGAAACCTGTGCTAACTCTATGCTTATATATTGCCATGTTATACATATCACACCGTTTGGATCAGTTCGGGGCGACATATGCTATAAAATTGCTTGTAATGGCAAAGTTTCTGGTTTTCTCTGGTTTTGGTGTCTATGATAATGATGTAGCAAAAATGGTTAAACCTTATTGTAAAGTCGAATTAAGTATGTGCAACATCATATCTGCATAATGTACTTCTTACTAAACATTCCATTTAAAGATTAGAATAATGTAATTCATCAGAAATATACCCCCCCCCCAAAAAAAAAAACAAACAAAAAACAACAACAACAAAAAACCATTGTAAGTGATTGGAAAAGAAATTGAATGATAAAAAGAAAAAAAAATCTGTGTCTGTGGAATAAATCGATAATTTTATTCATTTTACATTTACAAATTTAAATCAATTCATGTATCTAAATGTTATGCCATCAAACATGGTACGGATAAAGCATCTTTGACATTAAACTTGACAATGATTTCAGTCAGCCCTGAGCAATATCACAATAGGAGTCTGTATAAGAAGCATACACAGCAAATATTTCAAAATACCTGATATGATAATTAACAAAACATACGATTCTATTTTTAAACTTTCGAACTAAGAAGATGGGTCAACAAGGCGAGAGAAATGCCTATAGTGCGACAAACATGAAGGTGAAAAATCAAATCTCAATTATAACAAAATTTTCTCTGACATTTCATCTAGCATTAAAGTATACTTTTTGTAAAGTCTCCACAATTTGCAGAAATCTCACAAAGATTGAAATTATTTGCCCATGAAATATCATGCACACACTAAAGGGGGCAAAAAAGATCATTTTCTCATACTATATAACACAACTTTTCGATACGAGTGGGTCTTCGCTTCATTTTTTTTTCCTGAAAGTTTATCCTCAAAGTTTGCGTAAAAATATACATTTTTTGGTTAACAAAATCATGGAGCAAAGACCCACTATACCTTAAAGATACTCTTTTATGACATAACATTCGCATCTTTTCGAGAAATACTTGAAGTCCGTTTAGTCAAGGGTCATATCACAAACATGATTTTAATGTCACTATATATAAGGAGTTATGTAGCGTAGTGGTTAGAGTGTTAGTCTGAAAGGAAAATGATATTGAGGATTTTTATTACTAGGGTTCGAACCCAACAAATACCACATTATTTTAAATAAGAGAATTGTTTTTGACAAAAAAAATTTTCCTCAAAAAAAGTTTTGTTTATCATAATTTTATAAATTTCAAGAATAAGAACTTTACTCTAAATACTAAATTCACAAATTGAATATACTTTTTATATATCTGAAGCTAGAGGCATTCTGCGCGCCTTGTTCACCTATCTCTTTTCTAAGAAATAATTTAAAATATCTAAAGAATTTACATGCAACCTTTACCCTTATTTTATATTTCATTTAATCTCTAAGATCTGCCTGAACACTATGAAAAAAGTCTTAAGTCATAGATATGGGTAGGCAAAACAATTTAAGTGATTTTTATACATATGGAAATATCTAGTTACAACTCTTTGACTTTTTTTTTTTCAAAAGATGACATTCAGGTTGTTCGTATATATTTTGTTACTTTGGAATAAAATATAACACAAGATTATTCATTATTTATCATATGCATGTGAACAAGCTAAAAGGTAAAAAATACCCCACCCAGAAATATATTAAAAATCTTAAACATAAACTAGCCTAAAATACCTGTATCTCTTTCTAAAACATCATCTTACAATACCATTTAAACACAAAACATCACAATCCATGTCTTGAATGAGTTAACATTTTGGAAGGCCAATGATTCACTATCGAAGAAAAACCAAGCCATCGTAACAGACAAGGTTTTAATGAGGTTATTTGTCCATTTGATAGATCTTGGTTGATGTTACTTTGACACTTAATTAAGTTTAATAGGTGCATTTTAACTTATTTTAATTGTAAATGAAGTAAAGTTCCTATTAAAGAGATCGACTAAAATTTTGTTTTTTATCACAAATTTTTGCGAAGTATTTACCAGCAAAAATATTTGAAAAATACCTTCATTTCTATTTTGTCGATGAAGCATATGTTTTATTTTAAACAAAACATTTCTCTCATTGAGACCTGTTAGGAGATAATTTGTTAATTCTGCTTTATAATTGTTTTATAGCAAAGAGAAAAACAGTCTATAGTGTAATTTAAATATCATTTAAACAGGGAGTTTTTATTTTCAATCATTTGAAAGGTAAAAGCATTATTACACTGTGATTGATTAAATGATAAAACTCGTATCATTTTTCTGTACTTTTTTTCAGGAAAAAGTATATAACTTGTTAACGAGAAGTAACGAACAACATTCTTAAGAAATATGTTATCATTGTATAAAATGAATGGTTTTAGGGATTTAAAACATATAATTGTGGACCTGTTTGAACGGGTATTGTATTATATACATGTATATTGATACTGGTCAGTTTAGTATTGATCATGATTTTCAAAGTTTTCAAATCTTGATAATCTTTTATATAAGCCTTTTTATTTATCTTAAATTTGACATCTTCTCACTGTATTTTTTCTGCAACAGCTGCAATTCCGATATAAACAACCAAAGATAAAAACATCAATCGTATTCTGAGTTAAATCTAGTACAATGTAAAGGATATGATGCAGGGGTGTTCTTGACTGTACATTATTTCCTATTCGCAAGCCATTTAAGTTTTTTAAAATGCAACTTTTGATCAATATATCTGGCAATTGTTATAATAACAGTTGGAAAAATAGATTAATGTCCTTTCTTTGGCATCCTCTGGATACAGATGTCATCTGCTACTGTCTTTTTTCCCTTTAAAAAGGGAATTGTTGTTGACTTGCATTAGCTGATGGGTCCAGAGACTATCTCAATTTCCACACCCTTGTGACCATTATATTCGTAAAGTTTCATGTTTTCAACAATTTAAGTTTTATTTTTTTAAATTTTCATGTCAGTCAGCCATACTCGACCCCTGTGTATTAGATGCAGGGACTTAACTCACATTAATGAAGCTGGGAAATCCCTGTTATTTCTCATCTAGATGGCATTAAAAATGCGAAATAAAAAGTGACAACTACGATTAATGTACTAATCATATATCGAAAGTATTACCCGCAAACCCCTTGAAATAAACTACATGTAGGCATGGGTTCTAAATGAAATCAAGAGCAATTTTTAAATTAGTTGCAAATTTACACCTTGTTTTGGGTCATTTGCAAAATTATTTTGTTAAATAACATTCTGATTGTACACACAAGTACCTTAAAGTTAATATTAACAAGCATTCTGAGAGTATTGCATTAGCAATACTAGTCCCCTACCGGCAAGTATAATCTGGTTCCCGTTAAAAATTGAAAATGCCATAATTCCGTCAAAAATCACTGAAGCGGAACGAAATGCAAACTTGATTTATAACTCATCAAGGTGAAGTCACATACCAATAATCAGCTTCACATCTGCAAGCGTTTAGAAGAAAATTGCGGAAAACACTTGAAAATTGAAGAGCTCGTAATTCCGTCAAAAATCATTGAAGCAAAACGAAATGCAAACTTGATCTGTAACTCATCAAGATACACTCACATACCAAAAATCAACTCAATATCTGCAAGCGTGTAGGAAAAAAGTGCGGAAAACCAAGTGGGACAGACAGACAGAGGGACAGACAGACAAACAGACGGACAGACAGACAGACGGACAGACTCAGAGGAAACCTATAGTCCCCTCCGGTTTCACCGGTAGGGGACTAATAAGATGCTTGAGTTTCTGATTGATAATATCTATGTGGATTTTGGGACCCTGTCTGCAAAAGTATCAGTTGGAATTCCCATTGAGCTCTTATTTTAAGCAGACTTATTTTTGTATTCATATGAAGCAGAATTTATTCAAAATCGTACATGAGAAAAAGAAACCTCTTGCTGTAGTCTTCAACTCGACATTTAGATATATCGACGACTTAATATCAATTAACATTAATTATTTCTATTTATATGTCGACACAGTTTATCCCAGTGGGCTTGAAATAAAAGATACCACAGATGACACATCTGTTTCATACTTGGATATTTTACTAGAAAAAGACGTTAATGGTAATCCAACAACAAAGCTTTATGATAAACGTGATGACTTTAACTTTTCAATCGTCAACTTCCTTTACTTATGCAGCAATATATCGCCTATGTATGGGGTGTATATTTCTCAGTTTATTCGATACGCAAGAGCATGCTCTATGTATGAACAATTTCTAAATCGAGGTGAGTTATTGACAAACAAGTTGATGAAACCAAACTATCAACAGTCTTGTTTAAAGTCATTATTTCGTAAGTTCTATGGTCGATACAATGACCTTGTCAGCAAATACAATCTATCATTAAGTCATATTCTGACTGACATTTTTCATAGTAATTGTTAGACCATTATTTACACACTGAATTGAAGACGTAAATTTTCCGTTATTTCCTGATCATGACAAGGAACAAACGGCGGGTGTGACCGGTCAACAGGGGATTCTCACTCTTCCATGGCACCTGATCCCACCTCTGATGTTCATGGAGGTCCATGTTTGCTCTGCTCCCGATTTGTATTGTTTTAATGGACTTTGAGCTTGAATGCTATTCGATTTTATGTTATGTTTGTTGGGGGTCAGATTGCATAATACTTATTGAAGATACTCTTTGTTTGTCAATGTTGTCCAGTCTTTTCTGACCCCCATTATTTGTACAAGTTTTATATTCGTCATTTTTGATTAAATGACATTTTTTCAATTCAACACTGCGTTACTGGTTCTGCCTGTCTGGTCAAAAACAAGCTTAGTCAACTCGGCAAGGTATTTAGGCAATCTATGGAATATAAATTCGTTATCTCCATATTTCATTGCATTACTTCAATTTAATTGCATGCAAGAGTGTTCAGGTCTCCCTTTGTAACTGTTTTTGTGATGTTGTACGTCATAAAGTATAACTTTAAAATTTGGTCAGTGTTATTTTGTAACTATCAAAATTTCATTGTTCTAAGAAATACATTTAATTTTTTTGTTTTTTTTGTTTTTTTTTGCAGTCTTTATTATATTTCTTCGGCTACATGTTCATGACATTATATTAAATGACCTTTAGAAAAAAATGATAATTCCATCGTTTAAAATCTTGATAAATATGCATATTCAAAACTCGTTTTGGAAAAATTGTTGATTTAATCACAGTAAACATGACTTAACAATAATTCAGTTCTGAAACACATTTCAACCGTATTCTTTAAAAATCCAGGGAAAACCTTTCTCCCAGTTTTTCAACTTAATGCATTCCATCATCTTAAATCATCATTGTTCATATTATTCCTGCATAAACCTAACTGGTACTTTTACGTTACTTATTTACTGGCCAAGCCTTGATTGATTTACGCACCGAAGCCTAAAAAATGGGCGCAAACCAATCTATGATACAGTAAAAACGTGTATATAATTACTTTGAAGTCTTATTTATACATTATCAAGTTTAAAAAATGAACCCTATTACTAAGTATTGAATCGTTTTACATTTATGTAACATTTTGATTCAGTGTTTGTAACACATGCTTCAGAACCCTCCTTTCCATTGTGCATTCTGATATATTCTTATATTTAGAAGGTAATTAATACATAGTTTTACTTGATTTCAAATGCAGACCTTTATACAAGACCTGATACATGTATATTATTAAATAATTGTAAAACTTCTTAGGATGTCTAAGTGTCAAAGTTTCAGTGGGTGTTACTGCTTAAAAAACGTAAAAAAAAATTTATTGATAACTTAGTGTACCCTGTCCTGAGTGTGCTTCTATATATATATATAATCACTTAAGAAAATGTGATGAAGGTTCTTTTTTAACAAAAGAAAATGATTTTCTTTTATCAGATACATCCGGTATTGGAATTGTTGTGTCTCTCTTTAGTCCCGGACATTTATCCTTGATCGCAGGAAATCCAGACAATATGAATATGACCTCCATGAAATCCGGCAAAGGCATGCTACCTATTCAGACATATTATTTTAATACACCACGTGCAAAAATTGTCAGCATGGCGTCAGATCCAAGGAAGAACACACTGTTTATGCTAGATTCTGACTCTCATAGTATCTATAGAATGGAAAATTTCAACATTTGGGTAAATGATTCTCTGAATATTGTACCTATTCAGAAAGGAGTATCCAAAACATCTGCTCAGATCACGTACGATTGGTACAGCCAAATGGTGTACTGGGTGGACGGGTATTATAATTGGATAGGAATGCAGCCAGCTTTTACTACAGATAATACTCTATATAAAATCATTATCCATAAAGGATTAAGTAGGCCAGAAGGAATTGCAGTGGACCCTATAAGTGGGTAAGTTAAAAGAAAATTGACACTGATATATATAGGATCTCCCATGGTTTGTGGTTGGATAAAAAAATCATGTCCAACCACAAACCACGGGAGATTCTTTTTTTCAAATGTTTTACACATAGCTATTTCATGTTTTATGCTGTTTTATAGATGTAAATTCACAATATTTCACTTGATCAAATCCACGCAAAAACGATTGTGACGTTACAACCGTGGATATGAAAACGATATCCTAAGAGCTATATCCACTATATAAAAGCTAAACATGTGATAATTCTTTTTATATAACACAAATTGTTTTAAATTTTGTTATATAAACTGAAATCTATGATCCCATATTCAGGAATATCAAGTATTCTATTTTGCCGCAAATAAATGCGGTCAAGGAATACATTTGTACATCAGAATTCAAAGAATGTTAAATACACTTCCTTGATTTGTATTGATATGTTGCATATTCCTGTATGACATATCCGCATTTATGATGGATTAGACGCTACTTTTGATTATTTTCATTGAACTCGTTTGTCTATTTTTAAACTATAAATGAATAAGTAGGATATGTTTAAGCATGCCATTGAAATGAAAATGAAAAAGATCTGCAAGGTGCAGTTTTATTTATCTGTATTCGCAATAAAAAAGTCAATTTATAGGTACATGTACATTGTAAATTAGGTAAACTCGGATATGAGATTTTAATGTACTTATTTTGTAATGAGTAAAAATCCAATCTTAAAAAAATCTATACAAACTGTTAAAGCTTTGATACATTACCAAATGTTTTTTCTGCGCAATAAGAATCCAGATCGTATATTTTTTAAATGCAAATAATTAAAGTTATTTATCTTTCTAATAAGGAATGATCAGTCTGTGTATATGTCAAAGTGACATATTTTAAACGGAATCCAGGATGGACAATTAAAGGCTAAATTCCGTATAGAGACAAAAATCTACTTCATCAAATATCATGTCTCGCTTTTTGGTCTCGAGACAGATTTTCCGTCAAATCGCCAACATTTTGGCTCTTTCAAATCATTCATTATCAAAAAGGGAAACACGTTTAGTATTTTCCCAAGGAAGAAATAAACTGGGTACACCCTACAGATTTCACAATGTTCAGAACACTATCAATAGTAAAAAGAATCTGAGGATTCTAATTTAAAATTTAAATGAAGTTTCATAATATTTATCTGATGTGGTATTGTCAATATAAGATTTTTATTTCCTTTTTAACAGCCGTAATAGTATTTAGGCATACAAATTGATAACAGTTATCTTTTAAAATCTTACAGATATCTGTTTTACTCAGATATGGGAAAGCCTCAGAGAATTGAGAGGTCTTCCTTAATTGGTGAAGATAGAACCTCCATCATCCATTATGGTATTGATCGTGTGTATGACATCACCGTAGACCAGAAAGAGCAGAAGTTATACTGGGTAGACGCGGGAAGACATACGCTAGAATCATCTGATTATGAAGGACGAAACAGACGACTTCTTACCAGAATGAATTCTGTTAAATTCACCTCAGTTGTCATATTTGGTGTATGAAATATCTTTACATTGGCTTTAAATTATATGTATATCATTTTGATTTTAGTGGAATTTCTCTTAAAAAAATTGTTCTTGCATAATCTCGTACAAAATAAAATAATTAGCATTCGTAATAACTGTACTTAAAATTGACAGCCTAATGGTCACAACAGAATTTGTCTACTTTTAAATTTGTAGATGACACTGCATAAAGTGTTGGCATTCCAGTAATACTTTATGGAATTTCTGGGTTTTTTTTTAGGACTTTGTGTATGTAACATCATTTACAAGCAACACCGTTACCAAACTGAGTAAGAGAACTGGAGATATAAATTTGATTGTAGTAGTGGATGATGGAACACCTGTGGGGGCGGAAGTGTGGGATCCAACCAATAATAAACCCGTATCTAGTACGCATATGCATTCATGTTTCAATTATAATTGTATTGCAATTAATTTTCATATGATTATCGTAATCACTCATGTCTAATAATTCGCATCAACGTTGATTTAATACTTCATCATAACTAATAAAGATTTCTGAGTGTTGTCTCATGTGGAAACGTATCCATAGGATTAAATATATAGTTCATTATGTCGATAGAATGTCTTTAGAACAGTTAGTATGTACCCATTACTTAAGAGATTAATGCAATTTTTCGAAGAAAAATTTAAAATCCATGTATAAATGTTTTCATGTGCGAATAATAACATTTTGTTTGTAATGCTTAGAGGAATGCCCTGGTTTTGGATGTAAACATATGTGTGTTCACATGCCAAGCGGTCCCACGTGCGTTTGCAAAGAAGGATATAGCCTGGCATTAGACAAAAAAGATTGCATAGACGGTAAGAAAAAAATAAATGAAATGTTTGCATAATTAATTTTTTATTGTTATTTTACATGATCGATCAGTTATACGTAGTTTTAATAAAAATACTAAGTAGATCAAAAAAAAATTATCGAATTAAAGATTTTATGTAAGATGCCTTTATTTTCGTATTAAACTGGTGAAGTAAAAAAATAAAATTGTACTGAAAGTGAATATATCTGATATTTGATAATCTGTTACTTGAGTATTTTAAATTTACAGAGAAGTTACAAAAAGGCATAATTTTAGCCAATAGTACTCACATTTGCAATATGGATATCCGTCACATTACTGCACTAAAGGAAGAAATGTTCTGTCATGCCGCCAATCTTAGTGGTATCATGTTTATGGCTGTCGATATACGAAACCAGGCTCTCCATTACGTGGATTCAGAACTTCATGTCATCATGCAATATTCCATGATCTTCAACGTCAGCACAACCTTAACCGACTCAGGTCCTAATGTAACAGGTATGTTTTTACGATGACAATTAAGTTTTAAAATGGCAGCAATTCAGAATTTATTTTAAAACTTAAATGCATTGTGTATAATATATTTGTAATCTACAAGAAAGGAAATGCATACCATACTTCAGTGTTAATTTGGTTTTTATAATTATAATTTTCAATCAATACAGATATTGCATTGTGAATCATTTGATTTATAATCCTTTGACTACATGAATACAACAGAATCAAATCTTCTATGTTTCCGTGTTAGAAGATAGTGAGTTGACACTTCTAAGTTTGAAAATAAATTAAATTGTAATCTGTTCTTTTCCAAACTCTTTAAAGCATATACGACTTTTATCGAGGCGGTACTGCAATATTAAATGCTTGCGTGGACACAATAAAAAAAAATTTGCATTGCTTTGAGTTTATAGAGGTTTTGTGTAGCTTTGTAGCGTCACATATAGCTCTTAAAGTCTCTGTGTATTTGAGATAAAATTAATTTAAACCATCAATCACTTTTTTTTCAAATCAGAACAGAAAAAAATCAAATATTTCCAATTCCTTTATTGATAATTAATACATGTACTTATATATAATTAAATGAACAGGTGTTTCTTAATGGATTATGCTACTGGATGTCCTTCTTTGTTAGGTTTTGCTTATGACTGGATTGACGACAATGTCGTATGGAGTACATCAAACAGTATGCAAAAAGGCTCCATTCGTGTCTTCTCTCTCGGCGAATGGGCACAAACAAAGCTTTATACTGATTTAGTCAATCCTACTTATGTAAACATTAATCCACTGGATAGGTGAGTTGTGATTTTTACAGCACGAATATTTTCTAAGTTGCATTCTTCCAAAGTTTGAATATGTTTTAATTTAAAAAACTTCTTGTCCCCTGATTTTTGCGAAGCGAGGGGATATTAAATCTCATTCATCTGTCAGTCTGTTCCGTATGTCTGTCTGTCACTTTTTACTTTACTCTGGTCATAACATTTGAATGAAAAAAGATATGACTTTCATATAATCATATTTTACATGTACATTACCTGTGTCAAGTTGAACTTGAATAAACCCATGTTTCTATAGTTAAATAGACTTTAAACTGTGTCTGATATTTGAATGCGGAGTCTGTAAATAAATCGGTTATTATTTTAAATTTCTAATATCTATGAAACGCGATTTATTTAAATTGTGTAATTTACAGGAAAGTCATATCTTTATATCAAGTAATAAAACAAATAGAAAGATCTTTTTTAATTTTAGTTAGTCTGAACTTATAAAAAAAATACTTGAGTCTACTACATCTATTTCTATATGACTATAGACGATGATGACCAACTAACAACTGAACTGTTTAGCAAATGGGAGGACTTCGGCTTTTCCATTGTCAGCTTCTCTTACAATGTAATTATGCAGCAATATTCAGCAATCACTGGCGTTTATGTCTCCCAGCTGGTTTGACAATCAAGAGTATGCTATGAATACTATCAATTTTTAAACTGAGACAGGCTTCTGACAAATAAGATGAGATGTTACAGGGATTTCAACAATCTTGTTTAAAGATAGCATTTCGCAAACTCTATGGTACTTATAATGACCTTGTTTGCAAATCAATGTATTGTTAGGTCGTATTTTGTCAGAAATGTTGCATACCAATTGTTAGGTCATTGAGTTTCTACTTAATTTGACTAAGGTTACTTTATCTACCCGGAAAAGTGACTTCCGTAGAATATTGACCGGGGGTCATTTTTCTGTGTAGAAATTTGACCCCCCCCCCCCCTGGTCGATATTATACGTAGAAAAATGACCCACGTTTTCGTAGAAATTGTGGCCTTTGGGTCATTTTCCTCCGTGTGGATTGTAGAAAAATGACACTGTAGAATAATGACCCTCTGTCTTTTTTTGATAAAACATGGTTTTGTAAAGAATTTTTTTGTTAGGCAAATACATAGAGGTCATTAAAATCACAAAGTCTTATGATGTGAAGTGTTCATTTCTAAAAGCTTTAAAGTTTAAATAACAAAATTAAAAGGTATTACTATACTTGACATAAATAATACAAGGTGGTTTACTCCAATTAAAGGAAAACATAACAAAGCTTATAATGATGTTCTTTGACTATTAGAACAAGAATACGCGCTTTCTTTGATTTGTTTTATCACATTTAAGGTTTTCCATCCCTAATAGGACCAAATTCTCTATCCTTAAATGTTCATCATGTACATAATACTTTGATATTAATTTAAAACATTTTATAGTACAAAAGGATTTACCAAGAAAAAGTTTCAAAAATGTATTTTACTAAGCAGTAATTAATTAACAAAAATTGCTTTGAAGTCTATGGGGACAAGAAATTTTTTAAAAATCAAATAATAATATCAATAAATATTGTGGTAGAAAGATGCACTAAACATTAGAAATAGAATGACAATTGAAAACGGTTTTTTTTTACCAGATAAGTTTTTAAGATTAATTTTTTATTAATTAAAAACAGATAACTCTTACAAAAATTCAAGATCATAAATTAGGCCACATCCCACCCTTCCATGCTTATAGTAATAAATGGGAATTACGTCTAAATATACTGAGTATTCAACACTTACACATCTGATATATATTCAATTTCATTGAATCTTTTACTATTAGGGATGGAATACCTTAATAATAATTCTGTCCCACTCCCTCTCTCCCCACTTCCTCTCTCTACCGACTCTGTCTCCCTCTCCCAACTCTCTCTCCTTCCCTCTCTCCCCACTCTCTTGTCTCTCTCCTTCTCTCTCCCCACTCTCTTGTCTCTCTCCTTCCCTCTCCCCACTCTCTTGTCTCTCTCCTTCCCTCTCCCCACTCTCTTGTCTCTCTCCCAACTCTCTATCTCCCACCCACTCTCTCCCACACTCCCGCTCACCTCTCTCTCTCTCTCTCTCTCTCTCCCACACTCCCGCTCTCTCTCTCTCCCATCCACTCTCCGCCTCCCCACTCCCTCTCTCTCAACTTCCTCTCTCTCTCTCCCACACTCCCGCTCTCTCTCTCTCCCATCCACTCTCCGCCTCCCCACTCCCTCTCTCTCAACTTCCTCTCTCTCCCCCTTCTCTCCCCACTATCTCCCCCTCTCTTTATTTTTGTTTGACCATCTGACTCAATTATTACAAGACCTTGTGGAAAAAACTAATACATATGCATATTACATAGATGTTTCAAAGTTTTTTACAATAAAATTAATGGAAAAAATACTTATTCCAGAATAAAGACAAAGTTCTTATGTTATTATAAAAGGAATTATAAAATTTTTATTCTTGATCTTTTTACTTTAAATTGGATTTGGCAGATTTGTTTATTTTTGCCAAAAAATGAATGTAATTTAAAAGTATAAGGGCGATAACTTCAAACAACAGAAAATACTGCTTACCTGTTCACAATTTGTTCATTGCGTTTAATGTTTGCGCATTTAATTTTATATGCTTGGAAAACAATATTTATATGCTTACTAACATGCAAGGAACATATATGTCAGTTTGAAATCTAAGTTGGATATTATTTGTTGTACCGTTATGGAAAGTAGATGTGCGGCTAATGCCCTAAATTATCCTCATGCAGAGAGGAGGTCTATAAATATCCTTTATTTGATCTAGTCTGTAATAAGGGTTTGACATTCACTATCCTTTTCCCTTGTATGCTTTCAGTGTACTGTATTTTCATAATTTTTATCTAGTTCAGACATCGTGTCGTTGCTTTCAATGTTAACCAAAATGCACTTGCATCATGGCTCATTCGTTGTTCTAAGCATTACCCCGCATTTCATAATTTCTTATTGCATATAAACATTCGTTTGGTGATTGTTCAAATACATACTCTTAATAAAACTATGTATAATCTTTACTTGTTGCATGGTTCTACTCTGCTAACCATAGATTTCTACTAAACCGTTTTGAATGGACAGTGTTAAATGATTAACCGTGGGCTATCAACGTAATTTTGAGTAAATGTTCACTTTATTACAGGTCCTAGCAAAGCTTCTGGGAAAATTAAAATCATTCACTTAAGTAATAGAGCCATTCAATCAAAAAAAAAGTCAAGGAAATTGTGGGCTTAAAAAGTTGTTCCAAAGTTGCCTCTGTCGCGCATAGGAACCCTCCTCAATCTACATGTACTGTACATAACATTATAAAGATAAAGTTTATGAATTATAAAACACTTGTAGTAAGCATTTAATTCTAAGTCTGAAGGAAGAATTTAAGAAGGTATGCCAAACCAAAATTTTTTTCATAAATCTTTAAGACATCCCCTTTAAACTATGGTTTCAGCATTAAAAAGCCGATATTAGCTCCCAGATATTTTATAAGATTCCCCCCCCCCCCAATATTTCATAGAAAATAAAAAAGGATTTTATTTGTAAATAAGATATTTTAGAGTTAAAAATTTGCTATTAATGCTAAATGCAGAAAATGATTATCTAATAAAATATGTAAACAAAATCAAACTGGACATTTTAATTTTTTTACTAAAAAATTATTTATGAAAATAAAACAGTATTTTTGAATATTTTCGAAACCTATGGATAATATATTAAAAAAACAAGTCACAGCTACAATGAATATGCTAGTCAATCATATTTTAAAAAACATTAAAATGAAAATGCCAAATTTTAGAAAAATTATTTTTTTTTAAATTTTGGCCAAAACCGATCGAAATTTAAACTGATCCCAACCAAAATTTTGTAATAATTTGAAATAGATAACTTTTTCACAAAAATACTAGTTTGTTTAGGTGTAATACGGATTAAAAGGTAATTGAACTGGACAATTATCTAATAGATTTCGTAGAGGTAAATACATAAAGAAGACGATAATTATCATTTTATTTATTTTGTGTAAATTTTGATCGGGATCAATTTCATTTTGACTGGCTAAAATGGCCCGACTCAAATCTTTTTTACCTTCAGAAAACAATTTTTTTTCTTTTCTCAATCGTCCACATGTATGTTGAATTTTTTTTTTTTGGGGGGGGGGGGAAATAACGCGTATCATATCTCATTTCTAATGGTTTTTAAACAGGTTTTATTACATAATATTGTGAAAAAGTAGGGAGGGGGGTCAGATTTCTATGGGGGTCATCTTTCAACGTGAGAGAAGTCGTAGAATTATCGGTAAGGGTTTTCTACGGTCGAAAAATGACTCTACTTGTCGTGGAATATTGACCCAGGATCATTTTTCTACGTAGAAATTTGACCCCCTGGTAATTATTTTACGGGGGTCATTTTTTGTCGTTACACCGGCCGACAGGGGATCTATTCTCCTCCTAGACACCCTTTTTCACTTCTTTTTTTTCCCATGGACCTTTGGTTTTTCCCCTGTTCACAAGCACATACATTATAGGATTAATAAAAGTTTCTTCTTATAATTGTTTGAAATTGCGCCATTAATTCAGATCTTAAATACTTAAGGGAAATTTACTGGATTGAAGGACTTGGAAGGAATTATACAATAAAAGTTGGAAAATTTGACGGTAGTCCAGCAAAAGTGATTGTTAACAGCACCGATCTCAAAAAACCCACTGGATTATTTTACCACGTTGAAAAGCATCGGTGAGTAATACAAAAATCCTGAAAGAGTGATACAATACTGGCATTTTAGCATTTAGGGAACAAAGATAACATAATTAACTCTCTTGAAATAGATCCAAGGGGAAAATGATATGCTAAAATTCTATATATACCTCTCCAGAAATCTATTCGTTAGCTTAGATGGTGTGTGGAAAGAAAGATAAAGTCTATGCTTTCCACATATTGTTTTTCGCTCAAAGACACCATCGAATATACATGTAAATCTATCGTTTTTTTTTTGGTTTAAATCAAAGATTATTTAACATATGTCTTGTCTCCTTCGGGAGGTATTAATATGGACCAAACCAGTATAGAAAAATACTATGAACAATTATTTCCTTCTTACACAAAGTTGGGGTATTTCTAACAAATATAAAAATCAAACCCTCCTATTTCACAAAAAAGACAGTAATTCTGTTTATTAACATGTAGCTTCACGACTTCGGCGGTTTTTGCCATAACTGAGATGGCTTCCAGTATTATCATAATTTAAGCCCGGTTTTCATGCGACACGATAGCTTGGTTAAGCAGTACAAACGACCTCGTCATCAGAAGCCCAAAGGATGTCAAGTGTCGAGGTCTTTCCGTAATAAAAAAAAAATGCTCATGAAATCTGTGGGTTCAACACGCACTTATAATGCATATTTCGATTTGCCTCAAAATTGATGATTCTTTTATTCTCATTTTTCTCATATAAATCAACCATTTTTTCTTATTCAAAACACAGTATCAGAAATAAAAAAAAAAACTGTGCAAATCGTTTCACTATAATCGGTATTAAATGTATAATGGCAAACTATAGTCACTGTACATAGCGTAATTCATAACCTTTCATGTTTTATTTATTCTTAAAAGAAGTTATCAATAATTTTGTGAATATTATTGGTATACTAATAAATGAAAATGTACTCTTGTTTATCGGTACAGTTTGCAAACATTCAGCTAGGTTTGTTCCTCTATAGGTTGTTCTGGATTAATTGGGACAGTATCCACAGTTGTAAAACGGACGGTTCGGATCTGACTACACATCTACATTCTATATCTGTGTTATTCTTTGGTGTAGAACTATTGGTCTATAAGGTAAGATTTGAAGAATTGGGAATGGATATTAAAGGAAACATGATTGTATATTGTCCCTACCGTTGACACCTTCTTAATATCTGAAGTTGTTTGTTTTACCAAAAATTTCAAATCCAAGTTTTTATCAATTTATAATCAAAATATTGCCTTACATAGATACACGTATATTTTCTAGCATTACATATCCTTTTCAAAACCATGTTGCAAAGCTTTATCCTGAGTAATACGTATACATTAAAAATAACACGAGTTAGTGTGTGAATGTTGTCGTTTTTAGGATCATGCAATATGGACACATGGGAAAAATTTCTTGATGACGGGTAGTATCTTCAGAAATTCAGCAGAGGTTAAAATTGACACAAGCCACTACGGCAAATTGACTGGATTGGCAATATATGACCCAGAATTACAGCGGTATAAGAGAGGTATTTAAACTTTCTTAAGACAAAAACCCAATGATTGATCTGCTGTAAATGTGGAAATGTTCGCATGCGGGATTTTTTTGTGTGCAAATTCTGCGATTAGTAAGTTTCACAAAATTTATAACCATGCGAGCGGTTTCATAAAAGGCAACATACTAAACAACAAAGCAACAAATTTTGTAAATTCCTTAAAGTGTAACTTCTGCGAAAATAAGCCCTATGCCCAATGGTTCCATGCAAATTGCAAAATTTTACCCCGTAAAATTATCCACGTTTACGGTAAAAAAAAAGATAATTAAAAACACATACTGACATTGTTGATTTGCAAAGTTTTGTAGATATTATACAAGGAAATTTTTGCCACCGTTTTATTTTCGCCCCTTTTGCCCTCGTTGCAAGGTGGCGACTTAAACACGGGGCGAATTCAATTTAAGAGCATTACTTCTTTAACACAAATGTGTCTGGGCTAATTTAGAACGGGGCTAAATCTTTGGTAGAGTGAAATGGCGAAAATAACACGGGGCGAAAATAAACTTGTATACAGTATTTCGAAATCAAAGATTGGGGTAAAATGTTACATTTGATATGTCTGTCTCACATTTTGTATCTGCGTGTCTTTATCTGTCAAGGACTTTGATGTTGCTTCTAAATTATTAGAGTTGACCCACACTCAGGACATTTGAATAAATCAAGATCATACTACCTTAACTTTTAATGAAGGAAAAATAGAAGCTCCATTTTAGCACAATGTTATTGTCATAAGATGTCCCATAAACGTTTAAACAAAGTCAATATCAAATTTTTCAAACTGTGAAAAATACTCTTTGTCAATCATATCTCACAAACTTACCTTTTGTATGTATAAATGTAATATTTTGGTTGTTGTTTTTGCTTTTATTACTTAGGACCCTGTGAGATCATGAATGGAGGTTGTGAGCATGTGTGTTTACCCACTGATTCCAAAGTAAGCTGTAGATGTGATTTTGGATTCATGCTGGATTCTGACCTCAAAAGTTGTTTTTCCAGTAAGAATATAGCAAATTTTCAATAATTCTTGAATCTTAATGAAAGTGATATATAACATACATAAAAACCTTTTTTGTTATTGCTGTTAAGTAGTGTTGTCAAATCGGACGATTTTTTGTAACCACCCGGTTACTCGGATGATTTTTCATTAACCTCTTAACATCCTTGTAAGTGATAAATATTTAACAGTCACTGCAATAACTTAATGTTTGTATAATTTATCTTATCTTTTATATACATTGTACCAGTATAAATTTAAAAGAAAAAACCAAATGCACCACATGTGAATTTTTTTTTTCAGTAATAAACACACATCTAAATATTTTCTCTTGAACGACTCGATTAAGCGCGATTTTTTAGGCTTTATTTTCTATTAAGATGTCTAAATGCTAATGATTTCTTGGGGTGGCATCTTAATCAGGTAATAAATAAGGTAATTATGAACTCATGTTTTCAAAACACGCACATCACTTGGCAATCAAAGCCATTAATTAGATAAACTGCGAAAACTAATCAAAACAAACGTATTAGTAAAACGTTAGATCGAGACTAACGGTAAAAAAATAGTGACATGTTTAAAGATTCATTACACAAAATATCATTTATTTTCTATGAATGTCTAAATATCCGAGTAACCGAGTAGCATTTTTACTAACCGATATTCGCGTCGTTCGGCGATTAACCGGTTAACCGGGTACTCGTTGACAACACTACTGTTAAGGTATATTTAAATTTATTTTAAAATAATTGTCTTTCAGCTACTATGAAGGACCGATTTATGATCATAGCCGATCACACACATGGAAGACTCTATCAAGCGTCCTTGTCCGAAGGAAGAATTACTCCTCTTGATTTTCCAGAGGTCACAAAGCCTGCGTGTGTTTTGTATGATAGAAACACAAAACTCGTTTACTGGGTAGAAATAGAAAGCAGGGGAAGTCAGATAAAGCAAGCAACCATTAATGGAGAAAATACAACAGTCTTGATGGATTCAGGTAAGGAAAGTGCGAATATGAATATGAAAGTACGTATATGATATGAAAGTACGTATATGAATAATATATGGAAGTACGTATATGAATATAAAAATACGTATATGAATTATTAAGGATCAAATTTCAAGATATACACTAACATAAGTAATCTAAAACACTGGTTGAACCATCATAATATATTAATTTAATTTTGAAAGATTCTGTTCTGTCATTTTACTACAATACTTAATCATCAGTATTATGTGGATTCCCATCAAAAATTTGCTTCTGTAGGTTATGTGTATCCAGATAGGATAGCCATGGACTTTACAACAGGTCATATATACTTCACGGCTGTAGCGAGTGACATTTACCAGAGTTACGTGGGAGTGCTTCATCCACAGAGAATGGTTCACAAGAAACTTATTTCTCAACTCGGAACCCCTCGTGCTATAGCAGTCCATCCATCAGCGGGGTAAGACTTAAACGTAGTTAAAGAAATCGTGTTTTGGTAATACCTCAATTTTTATTTTTGATATTCCTTACAAGACAATGATCGATTTGTCTATTTGATCTTCAATGAAATAAAGTCCATTTAATTTTATTTGTTCTATTTGGATACATGCAGATATATGTTCTGGACGGATCATAACAAAAATAGTCCACATATTGGACGTGCGTTCATGGATGGTTCTTCGCAAAGGGTTTTGATTTCCAAAGACGTTGTTTGGCCAAATGGACTTGCTATAGACTACAAAGGTGTAATACATAAAACTATAATCGTTTATGATCTTATTTTCAATGTTCACAATTTCATCAAAAAGTAAATAATAGTACTAAAAAATAAATAAATTTAAATGTTCAAGGTTTAGAAAATACAAATTAACCAGTAAGTTAAACAAACAATTAAAGATATACATAAGGGACAGAATCCAATATGTATCAAATCTAATGATGATTACTTTTAAAGAAATATTTTTAGGAACTTCATGCTGTAAGGAATATTTAGACAAATATGTAGTTTCTTTATTTCAGAGAACCTCCTATACTGGGCAGATGGCCACACGGATACAATTGAGTCTGTAGACATACACGGCTTAAACAGAAAGGAAGTCTTAAAGGTATCTAATCAACAACTGATGGACGTGGAATTGTTTGGCTCCTATCTCTACTATACAGCATGGAACACACAGTAAGAAGTTAAATAGAAAAATAAGTTCACTCCTAAATCTATAGTGCAAATGATTTCCATCGTTCGAGATTATGTTATTTAAGGATATCCACTCCTCAGCTAGGAACGATAAATCTTAAATCATCACATAATTAAAAAGTCTCAAAATGAAGCTTGAAATTGAAATCCTTTCGTGCAACAATTTTCATTTCATGCATATCAATCTGATCCAGGGTTTTTTGAAGTCTTAGAAACTATCTTGTAACTATCTTGTAAAAGGTTAACACTTGTATCCCATAAAAGTACAAAAAGAAACACAAAAAATCAGATTTCCTTTTATCTAACCTTAGATACCATGGTTAAAAGCATTCTATGAACATAGAAGTTATCTGTGATGCTTAACAATGATAATACAAGCTTTTTACACGATATAGCAATTGAAGTTAATATAGAAGAAGTAAAATACCTTATTAGTATTTTTAAAAAAAAACATGCAATTTTCTCCAAATGCCTGGATAACTATGTAGTGAAAATTCAGTCTGTTTTGGCTCAAGGATGGTTCTGCAATAGGACTTGAATTTTTAAAGGAAAATTGCACAAGATCTTCAGAAAAGCAATTCTACTAATAGTCAAGTAGATGTCCATATGAACAAGCATTCTGAGAGTGTTGCATTAGCAATACTAGTCCCCTACCGGTAAGTGTAATCTGGTTCCCATCAAAAATTTAAAATGTTGTAATTCTGTCATAAAAATCATTGAAGCGGAACGTAATACAAACTTAATTTGTAACTCATCAAGATACACTTACACTTTATTTTATAATTGGATGTTTTACTGACTATAGACTTTAATGGAAAACTAACAACTAAACTATATGACAAACAAGATGACTTCAGCTTTTCCATCTTCAGCCTCTCCTATTTATGTAGTAATATTTCACTACCAACTGCATAATGTGTTTATGTCTCCCAGTTGATTCGGTACGCAAGAGCATTTTCTGAGTACGTTCAATTTCTCAGCTAGGGTGAAATCTGACATATAAGTTGATCTTACAGGGCTTTCAACAATCTCGTTCAAAGTAAGAATTTTGCAAATTCTCTGGTTGTTATAATGACCTTGTTTGCGGATGCTACCTATCTTTGGGTCATATTTTGACAGACATATTTCAAACCAATTGTTAGGCCATTATCTCTACCAATTTTGAATACGGATTGCTCCATGTATCTGATCAAAACAGAAGATCATGGAGGGCGTGACCGGTCGTAGGGGGATTCTTACTTCTCCTAGGCCCGCGTGGCGCAGTGGTTAGAGCGTTCGCTCTAGAGTCGCGGCGTAAGGAGTTGATCCTTACGTCGCGGGTTCGAATCCCACTGTGGGACGTGGAGACCGGTCCTTCGGATGAGACCGTATAAACCGAGTCCCGTGTCGCAGTAGGTGCTGACACGAAAAAGATCCCTCACTGCTCAATGGCCGTAAGTGCCGAGTATAGGACAAAATTTGCAGCTCTCCACCGGCAAGTGGTGGCGTCTCCATATGAGTGAAAAATTCTCGAGAGGGACGTTAAACAGCATACAAACAAACAAACTTCTCCTAGGCATCCGATCCCACCTCTGGTGTTTTTAGGGATTCATCTTTTTGCTCTGTAGAGGATTCATATTATTAACAGGATTGATCACTGGTCGTTATCTTCACCTGTTTTACTAGGTTACACAATTAAAAAAGTTATTTAAATAATTCCAATTAAATACAGGGCTTCCATTTTATGAAAACTCTATATGTGTGACAAATTCTTATTAGTTTGAAGTCACAGAGTTAAAAGTCATATGAGCAACTGGACTTGTCGACTTTACAACTCTTGTTTAAAGAACATTTTCATCAAATGATCGTTTTTAGCTCTTTTGAGCCAAAGGCTCAAAGAGCTAATGATATGGCCATTTGTACGGTGTGCGTAAACTTTTTAGAATATGGGCCATAACTCAAGAACCCCTTGGCCAATTATTGTCAAATTTGTCACAGGGTATTCTTGGCCCAAGGGCTCCCTTTTATACTAAAACTAGAGTTGACCCTTAAACAAGGGGAGATAATTAGGAAAATAGAAACAAAAGTACTGGTTGCTAAAAAATCTCCTTCTCAAGAACCACTGGGCAGATTATCACCAAACTTACACAAGAAGATGAGGATATGTTGTAGATTAAAATTGTTCAAGGCATCACCCTGGGGCAAAGGGTGTGGTCTCAAGGTCACTTCAAAGTTGACCAAAAATTACATTTTATTAAAATGTTGATATTTTGCTTACTATAAGCATTAGGATCATCAAATCTTGTCAGTTGATGCATCTAAGGACCTCATATCATGTTGACTTAAAAGTAGGTCACGGTGACCTATTTTTTAAATTTTGTGGCCATTCTTTATCAAAATGATTTAGAGGCTTGACCTACTTTTTGAATTTTATTGCTAATCTTTTACAAAACAATTAAGGTCAATAATTTGAATACTGAGAGGTTTAGAATCATGAAATCTTGCAAGATGATGCATCTTGGGGCCATAAAACATTATGTATTAAAAAGTAGGTCACAGTGACCTACTTTTTGAACTTTGCAGGCATTCAATTTCAAAGCGTTTTAGAGGCATAATTTGGACATTTTAAGGCCTATGATCATAAAACTGTGTAAGTTGATGCATATTGGGTCATTGGAGTAGGTCGACTGAAAAGTAGGTCACCGTGACCTACTTTTGAAAATTTATATGACTAATTAAATATTTCAGGTACAAATTGGCTTAGATTCATCAAACTTTGTCAGTTGATGCATCTTAGGTCTTCGGAGTACATGTAGGTCAACTGAAAAGTAGGTCACCATGACCTACTTTTGAAAATTTATGTCTTTAATTAAATATTTCGGGTACTAATTGGCTTAGAATCATCAAACTTTGTCAGTTGATGCATCTTGGGTCTTCGGAGTAAGTCTACTGAAAAGTAGGTCACCATGACCTACTTTTGAAAATTTATGGCTTTAATTGAATATTTCAGGAACTAATTGGCTTAGAATCATCAAACTTTGTCAGTTGATGCATCTTGGGTCCTTGGAGTACGACAACTGAAAAGTGAGGCACCCTGACCTACTTTTGAAAATTTATGGCTGTATTTAATATTTTTGGGGTACTATTTGGATTAGAATCATCAAATTGAAGTGATAGGTTGTACAGTTTATCAGAAGATCTATTCAAGGCCCTTGGGCCTCTTGTTTAAATCGATATGTAGATAAACTACACAGTATAGTTTGCCATACACTCGTCTCATATTGACGTAAGTGGATAGTGCAAACCTTAACATTTTTATTAATTTAAAAACTCATTTTTATAAATTTAAAAATTGTTGTTATTTCAGAAAAGTTTCTAAGGTGTTATTAAACAGTGACAGAACAGGAACTCTTGTAGACTGGATGTCTGATATTCCTGAATTTGGACGATTAGATTCTATTGAAATAGAGCCTGGAAATAATCAACCAAGTAATTAACAATCATTGTATCTAACAGATCAGAGATAATTTTTTATGATATTAAACAAGAAACCAAAGCAGTTGGCCCGAAAATTCTAAAGAATGATGGTGTTAAAAAGTAGCTTCCAAGCTTTATAGATTTATGTGTTAACTTATATGAAGTATCAATATCAAATTTATGTATCAGGAGACATTAAATTAACATAACTTAAGAGAAATAATTTGATTAAAATATTCGAATTTCCTTTACTACGGTAACGAAAAATAAACATGCTAACAATCTGCAATTTTCTAAGTGACTCACTACAAACTTAAAAGAGAAAAACAAAACAAAAAACATCTTGTTATTCTTGTAGTCATTGATTTCAAATAGTGTTCATGTATAGCAATGTAATATTACAGAAAGTTCAGCATGTTTACAAGACAATGGGGGTTGTAGCACCTTTTGTCTCCCGACACCAGATGGTCGCACCTGTGCTTGCGAGGATAATGTGGATTTATTGGCTAATGGCAAAACGTGCGAAATTAGCGGAGGCAAGTCGTGCATTTTATGTAATATAATCATTGCAGTAGTAAAAATGCAAAATTTGAAAAAGTGACCAACTTTATAGAATAAAACATTAAAAACTATCATTATAGAGATGAATATATAGACAGAAAGTAAGGTTTGTATTGAAAACACTTGATGAAAGCATAATTTATTTTGCATAGGTTCCCCTTGTCCAGATACTTTGCCGAATGGGGCCTGGTCCTCTAATTGCCATAAATTGCCCACGGAGAACTGCACGTACATATGTGATGAAAATTATCTTCCGAATGAAGCATTTCCCTCTGTAACCTGTGGCAGAGAGGGCCAGTGGTCAATTCCTACAGAATCACTATGTAAAGGTAAAGTTACATTATGAACATACATTTATTTTAAAGTAATAGTATGAATGTAATATAAATATTGAAAAAATGACAGTAAATTTAAGCTTTAGTAATTTGTTACCGACTAAAATTACATATCAAATAGAGATTTTTATCTATTTTAAGACAATTATTTGACAACTTTTCCTAAAAACCTTTTAATTTTTGGTTTCATTTTTGAATAAGAATGCCTTTCATTACAGCAAAAACTTGTATAATATATGACCCAGTCCATCACTTGCTGAATAACTGTTTACCAGTTATTGGGAATGAATGTGAATTTGCTTGCAATGAAGGGTACCATAAGAATCCAAATATAAAAAAGATTAAGTGTTTACCATCGCTGAGATGGAACGTTAATACTTTAGAAGCTTGTCGTCAATTTCAAGGAGACGTCCGAGGTAAGCGCACTTTAACTGTAAACAAATAATCAGCGATTTTTTTAATGGAAACAATATACACGCGAGCATAGATTTAGTGTATATTTTTCTTAATTTGTGGTTGTGTATATTGTTTTATAGTTATCATATTGCATTGTAATATTTCTGGTGAGGTTTAATGAGTACAGGTATGAAGATTTTTTTTTTTAAATTGTCTGGTAATAATTTTTTTCATTTCTCCAATGATTCTTCTTGTGTTTTACAGTTGATTCTTTAGATACTACGTCACTTCCTATTAAGTGTCGAGAAGAAGATCTTCCTAATGTTAAACTTAGTCCAGACTGCAGTAAAATGCCTGACAAAACATGCTCGTTTTCTTGCATAGAAGGCTACTTTAAAAAAGATGTAGATATTACAGAACTTGTATGCCTAGCGAATGGAAAATGGAATTTAGATCACATGCCATTATGTACTGGTAAACATTACCTTCTTTTACAGAATTTTGTATTGTTTCCTTTTTTTGAAAAGTTGCTATTTAAAACTCCATGTCTGATTGAGTAAGTATTTAGATTTTGTAGTGTGTTCATGCAACTATCTTCATTTAACATCTGTCAAACTTTATTGATGAAGTAGCACAATTGTTGGCATTAATTATCTTGGGCATGTTTACAAAGAAATTGTATGAATCTTGAATCATTTGATGTACTTAAAAGTGTTATATGTTCATTCAAATGCATTCAAACTTTGCAAATGCATTCAAACTTTGCAAATACTCTCCTCTTATTTAGATCAACTGAGTCACGCAGGTTCGTCAGTCGTAAAAATTTGAACATTTTTAGCTTCTTCTCTGGAACCACTGAATCAATTTCAACCAAGTTTAGCATATAGCATCTATGGGTAAAGGGGAGTAAAAACTGTTAAATTCATGGCCTCTGCCCCCCCCCCCCCCCGGGGCCTGCGGGATGGAGCTAAAACCATCAAAATAAATGCAATCTTTAAATCTTCTTCTTTACTCCTGGACATGAAGCAGTTAAACTGTTGGCTTGATTGTAATAAGCATCGAACCCTCTACAAAAATTGTGAAATTCATGGCCCCAGGGTCGGGGGTTCTGGCACAGGGACGGGGCTCTAAATGATTATATAGTGAAAATGCATCAATTCTTTGAAAATCTTTTCCTCTGCTCCTGGGTATTAAGCCGATGAACTAAGTACATAGTTTTGATGAGGAAGATTGCCTCTTCTGAAATTTGAATATCATGGCCCCTTGGTCAGGGGTTTGGGAGGGGTTATTATTTATTATATACTGAAAATAAATTAATGCTTTGAAAATCTTGGTATTAAGCAAACAAACTGAATACTTAGTTATGATGAGATAAGGTGCCTCTTCAAAAATTGAATTTCATGGCCCCAGGGTCAGGGATTCTGGAGTTAGCTCTAAAGATTATACAGTAAAAATGCATTAATGATTTGAAAATCTTCTCCTCTGCCCCTGAGTACTAAGCAAACAAACTAAATGCAATTATGTCAGTGTAAATGTATTAAAAATAATTATAAGTGAATGTGCCTTTTCTTTGCTCCTGGGTATCTAGGGGCAAACAGAGTACACAATTGAAATAAGTGAAGCAAATGAGAGTTACTCTCCTTTGCTAAATGTTGTTAATCAAGAAATCCTTATATATAATTTAATTATTTAATTTACAGGTTATTTTTTGAATGAGAATACAAGAAATAATTAAATATGGATCCTTCACAGTGTTGTATTATACTCAGGTGACCGTTAAGGCCCTTGGGCCTCTTGTTTATTTAGGCATGTACTTTCTATCTTGGTTATATGCAATAATAAGAAATGTGACCAGTATGATATAATAGTTTTAAATAAATCTCTTTCTGGATATCAGTGTTGGAGGTTATAGTGGATGTTTAAGCTTGAATTGCCTTTATGTAGCATAGTGTGACTGATCAAACTATTTTTTTTCTTTTCTTTTGCAGCCGTTTCTGGGATTAAAAGTTCTAAAATGTCCCAAGAAGAAAAGAAATCAGACAAATCGTACACTGCCATTGCTGCTGCACTGGCAGCTGTCATCGGAGCAGTTCTCATCGCCGTCCTCGTCATTATGTTCATCTACTGTCGACGAAAGTACGAATTAAATAATTTTCTGAAAGATGAGAAACCATGAACTTTTCTAAAGAACTTAACATGCAAGAAATATACTAGAATTTTTTTTTATTTTTATTTGAATTTAAAGATAGATTTTCTGATCTTTCAATATCCAATCATGCAATTAAAACCCAACCTCCCAAATTCGTTTTATTTTAAGTAAGTTGCAAGGTATAAATTACTTATAAATTTTTATGAGATGTATTTTTTGCAGAATACAAACAGTTTTCTCTTTCTTTTTTTCTGTAGAAGGAGGTCAGTAGTTGGACGGTATGAATCTCATCAAAATGAATCTAACGTATATTGTGAACCTCATAAAGGAATCGTTAACTTAGCAGCTGACAATGGGAATAAAACAGAAAATAATCATTATGCTCAAATGAGTGACATATGAAATTAATTAGCAATACACTTATATCATTGTAGTGTCTGTTTCACGCTGATATCTATATTCATCAGCGAAAATATATGTATCATTATCATATGAGCAGATAAAGGAAGGAAAAGAAACGTTGTTTCCTTTCATTTCATTGTAATCCTTAGCTGTTGACCACAGATATAATCGATAATAATTTTTATATTGATATTGGGCAATTGTTAAATTAAAAGTAAGTGTTTTTAGTGATATCTTTCTTTCTTTAAAAAGAAATAAAGATTATGTATTATTGTGTGTACATTGCTTTTGTGTTTTTAAGTTATGTATGTTTAATTGTTACAAGTCTAGTGTATTTTTTTTCCAGTTACATCTGTTTAGTACAGGAAACATGAATTATCAAACAAATGCAAGCTTGTTGAAAATTGCTCTTTTTTGGCAAGAATGGTGCAACAAAAGGACTTTTTCTATGGAATATTTTTTTCCTAGAGGTGTAAGTTGACTAAATACAAGTATAGGTATATCCTGGATGTATTAATAGTATAAATTATGACCCACGATTCAGTCGGGGACTATAACATAATCTTTGGTTTTAAAATAAACAAAGATACTACAACTTAAGGACATACGCAACGTACCTTACCTACTGATAATTTCTCAAGATATTCTTAATTTAAGATTATAGTGCCATCAGATGTTCATAGACAAAAAACCAGTATGCATTACCAGGGGTTTTAAAAAGATATCAATTGATGAAAATTCTTGTATAATTCAAAGAAAAATATACGAAAATTACTTAACGTATATTCTAGATGTTTTGTTTATCCAAACTTGTTTAAGAAGAAGTGTACAATAGAATATATAAACATTAAAATGTGGCACAAAGTTCCTTTAAGTATTGGAACTCTTCAACTCCAGGGAAAAATACAATAAAGTTCAAACTATGTTGCGTATGACCTTAATTTGAGATTTATTAAGCTTTAAGAATTATTTAGTAGGCGAAAATCATGGCAATTGTATACGATGAAAATATTAGACATTAATTGAATAACTTTTACAATTTAAATAATTTTCTGGTAAATAGTTTTCTTTAGATCCCTAGTCAATTTTACGCCAATCGAAGATGGTGTATGCATAAAAATTAGCATAATTTTGTACAGTGAAAGTTCAGAAAGGAATGGCTTAAATGCATTGTCTAATTAAAGAGCTATTGAAACATCTGATTTTTGTTCAATTTAATTCCTAACACTTGTGAAAAGTTGAATATGTTTTTCAATATTTTTAACCCTATATCATGCGTATTTTCTTAAAAATATGTTTATGAGAGTTATCTTTCGTTGTAATAAGAAAATGAAGCTACAGCTACTATTCTTCAAGTTCAGTCAATTTTTCTCCCTATACTGTACATGAAATATGAACGGACACGGTGAAAGCAGAGTTCCGTGGAGGTACATCATTTAGAACATACGAGACCAGAGAAAATTGAAGATCATTTGTTACGAATAAAACAGTCTTTCAGATTCACAATATTAGTAGTAAGTAGAATAAGTTGTAAGTACAATAAGTAGTAAGTACAATAAGTAGTAAGTACATGTAATAAAATTCCTTTTATTCGGCTTTGAAAAATAATTTAGATTTTTTCTAACAGCTGATAATGATTTAAAATCTAAATAGAATGGTTTTCATCGCCATTTTGCCTACTATTATATAATTCACACATTCATAATATCTCTTGGGGAATTTTAGTCCATTTTCCGATTTCAACTGGTAGAAAAAGATAAATTGCTCTAAACTTGATAAGTATATCTTTATATGTAAATATGTATATGAAGTCCAATACTGGGAAATCACAGATTTTCGTTGTTTTCGTGACATGAAGAGACCCACGACTTCAATAATGTAATATCTCCAATAAATAACAATCTAGCATTCTTCATCCTCGAAAATCCTACAAATTGATATTTTTGCTCAATACACGAACAATTTGACCTCATGAAAATATGTTATTTTACTGTAGTTAATATCTACATGTACGTATATATATCTATTAAAGAAGTACATATACACAATTCAAATTAATTTACTTTCATCTCCTAATAAAGTAGCTTGTTTCAAGGAAATCATCCTTGTATACAGCAATTTTCCCCATATACCACATTTAAAAATAAAATTCCCCCCACAGCGCAAGTGTACACCTTTAACAATTTTTATAAATTTTAATTAAACTCCTTTCAAATTTCTAAATACTTTGAAGGCGAGACCTGGAGACATTAGATGTTTGTATCGTCCCTCAATCTTCCAAATCTGCACAGAAAGTTTTTATCTTTAAAATGATGATCAAAATCAGAGAAAAAAAGTGTATTCCTAGCCAAAGATCTTATAGAATTTAGCCAAAAAAAATCTAAAATTGTTTAAGAATATCATTGTGAAAGAGTTTCAGACTTCTTTGTTCTATAAATGCAGGGAAAAAAGGAAAATGTTAAGCAAACTTTGAGAAGAAGTCTAACGATCGAGTTATACATGTAAACTTCTTTCCGTGGTTATGTATTTTAATCCTGATTTTCTAGCAAATTTGCTGCATGAACCTGAAGATCAAATTTAAAGTGATATTGTTGGTGAAGAAAAAATAACAAGACTTGAAATATTTTGTTGAAAAGGATGACTGCACTTAAGGACATGCGAAATTTGCGACAAAATAAACTTTCAAAACAAGCATTTTTCTTTTCATTGCAAGAATGGTCAAAATCCAATCTACAACTTTATGTAATTACGTTTAATAAAAGTGTGTATTTACGAAGTTTGAATCTGTTTTCAAAGGCAGGGGTCATCACAATTTCTTGAATCTCCGTTCGATAATGAAGACGCCCACTTTTTTACTGACTTTATACATAGTCAGCGCATGTTTGTCTATTGTTCTACGTTTAACAGTAGTTTTATATTTGCATAAATAACAATGTGCCAAAAGGAGATCAATAGACAAATATGCGCTCATGGTTAAAAAGAGAAAAAACTGCTTCTTCTTACATTCGTTCTCTGTGTTGTAACCAAGGATTGTGACTTGTTGAATATTATAATTCACCACGTGATTTCTTACCTCAGGTAACTTTGTGAATACTAGATTCCGTCACGTGACTTGTAAGGTAGCATGTTATGTGCTAACTAGGACATTGTGTTCGAACACGTTAAGTCATCTGGCATTGATATAAAATCTGCTTTAATCACATTAACGTGTTTATATTGTTAATTTCGTTTTGAAACCTTTGTCAGAAGTGTATTTGTGCCACACAGAATAGAGAGGGAGATTGGAAAGAGTGATCACGTTCTTTTTTCCAAACATGTCATTGTTATTTATCAAGTCTAATTTTAGACCCATTCTTACAATGTTAGCCCCACCTCTCTTGCATATCTAATGTTCAATCAAGGGCAGGTAAGTGTAAATTCACTATATTTGAAAAGCAGTAAGGACAAAAAACATTGAATCATTTTATTGTATCACAGTCTAAAATCATTTTAAGATTTATATTTGGTTCCAAATTGACAGGATTCTTTCATAAACATACAAAAGTGAAATAAGATTTAGAAATAAAAGCAACAGAAGCAATCGAAAAGGACCCAAAAACAGGCGTTAAGTGCAGTCATCCTTTGGGGAAAAAATTGTTCTATAAAAACCTTAGATTAATTTTTAGTGGATTTCCAATTTCTTATTAGATTTCCAAATTTTCAGCTGAAGAAAAAAAGCTGAGGACACAGAAGAGGACATCTTCTTTAAGTTTCACGATATGAAACTTTTTAGCTCACCTAAGCCAAAGGCGATCAAAGAGTGTCCGACGTCCGTCTGCCGTCTGTAAATTTTTCAAATTTTCCGACTTCTTCTCAATAACCTCCCGTTCAATTTCAAACAAACTTGCCACAAAGCATCCTTGGGTAAAGGGGATTTAACTTTGTTCACAGGAAGTTCCATGCCCTCTTTCAAGGGGAGATACACATGTAATTAAGTATTCATAAAACTTTGGTAGCATCTTTTAAAAATCTTTTCGAGAACACTGGGCAACGAAAGATGAAATTTATGTTTTAATTTCATTACATGCTCTAAATTCGAGTTTGTTCATATCATAACCCCTGAGAGTAGGGCGAGGCGAAAAGAGGGGTCAGTTTCACACAGGAATATATAAGAAATGTCTTTAAAAATCTTCTTCTCGAGAACAGGAAATCCATGATTAGTCATATTATTATAGAAGTATCATCAGGCAGTGTAGATTCAAATTGTTCAAATCATGGCCCCCAAAGTTTTAAATAGGAATATATAGGTGTTATGGTTAAGGGGCATTTGCGTAAAACGCATTGAAGACTTCAAATGGTGGAATAACCTGACAACCCTTGGAATGGATTAGCCAAAGTTAAATAAGGCAAAGCGTTGGGAAAGTCAGGCATTCAAAAGTTAGCTGAAGACTATTTGATTGATTGTATGGTGTTTAACGTCCAATTCGAGAATTTTTCGCTCGTAGAGAGACGTTACCGTATGCTGGTGAAGGGCTTTAAATTTAGACCTATACTCGGCACTTAGGGCCATTGAGCAGTGAAGGTTCTTTACAGTGCTAACGCCTACCGTGACACGGAACCTCGGTCTTTAAGGTCTCATCCGAAAGATCCGTGGCTTTCACTTCAAGTACTGGGCGCTTAGCGAAGGAACAATAACTACCTTTGTTTACATCTCAGGTTTTGACGCGGCGCGGCGAACGAGAATCGAACCCAGGCCTCCCGATCACGAACTAGCTGAAGAAGATGGATATTGAATCAGCAATAAAGAAGTTAAGGGTAAGAGAAAAATAAAAGTGAAATGTATAAGCACCTGAAGTATCTTAGGGAACTGATGTTAAGTTTGGGGTGAAGTAAATCTGAAGAAGATCGAGACACCCGGTTCTTATCTATCAATAGGAACCTAGAGGAGAAACATGGTGCAAGTAGCACATTACCCAGTCCCCGTCTCTAGATAAGAGAAATTTAAGTACTGTGTTATTTACCCTCAGACAGATCTGTCTAAATAATCATTTCAAAGATTAACAGAGAGAGAGAAAGAGAGAGAGAAAAAGTTTAAGGAAAACCTATATATCCTTAAGAATCTTTTTTTTTTTTATTTATCAATGTCTTGGAGGTGATGTATAATAGACATGCTAGCATGATGACAAGCAAACAGGTTATGATTATCATATATTACTCTGACCTCATATCTCCTAGAAAAGACGCACTCTAACGTACAGGTGTGAAGTGTACAAAGTCATTGGAAGTGGTCCCACTTTTCATCATGAACCCTTAATACCTAATAAATAGCTAAAAATTAATTACTACAGACAAGTAATTAGTTTGGTATATATAGAACATATTAATTCATACCCCGCTTCTAAATGTAATTTTATGTACATAAAAAATAACGGTTGAATGAATAAGGAATTTTTCATTTTTACATCTCTCCATTGTCCTAGTCTGATTCATTAACCCATAAATGTTACCTGTAAAACTGAACATACAGAGGCTGGTCAGTTGCTCCGGGGATTTATAATTTGTCAAGGTCAATACAATAGACATTAAAATCTTATAAAAATTTTAATCAATTAATAATTGATTACCCAATTAACCAAAGTCTGTTGAGGCAATGGGCGTAATAATACAAGAACCTTATTGTTAAAAATGTATTTTTATATTGTTGTCAACGAGTACCCGGTTAACCGGTTAATCTTCGAACGATGCGAGTATCGGTTAGTAAAACTGCTACTCGGTTACTCGGATATATAGTATTTTATAAAGTAAATTAATATATGAATAATGTATTTTTGTTTATAATCTCCCCATTCCATTTACTGTCATTTAACGTTAGTCTCGACCTAGCGTTTTACAAATGCGATCGATTTGTTTTGATTAGTACCGTATTTCACAGTTTATCTGATTGAAGGCTTTTATTGCCAAGGTGTATACAAGAAGGCTTGATTTAATTATAATTACCTCACATTTATAAATCTGTGCTAGTTTGCAGTACTATATTAAAGAAGATGCCGCCACATGCATTGAAAGAATGGACATATTTTCAAAAGAAAAGCAGAAATTAAATTCGTGAGGTGTAAATTATGTAAAATGGAATTAACATACACGGATGGGACAACTAATATGCTTAACCACCACTGACTGAAGTTAACTGTGAAACAAGCGAAACATAAAGCGCAAAACAGCCAATCAATAAGAAATTTATTTATAGAAGATATTGTTTATTAGTAATTATAAATAAAGTTTATATCCAGTGCATTTGTGTTTTGTATATACCGATATACAAATGATAAGATAAATATAGAAATTGTAACAATACATACAATTTATATTACAGCTGAGTATATACCGCAAACAAGAATGTTTCGATGTCTAAAGAAAAACCATCCGAGTAACCGTTACTCGATCGGAAAAGTAAGCAAGTAACCAGTTACTAAAAATCGTCCGATTTGACAACACTATTTTTTTTTTTTATTAAAACTATAAACAAATCGTTTTCCATCAATTTATTAGAAAATTTAATTAATGCTATTAAATTTCTAACATGTAAAAAAAAATGGATAAAAAAAAAATATTTCCACATTGTGCACTCTTTTCTTTTACGAATATAAGCTGTTCCACTAGCTTTTCCTTTGAATGCAACTTACCTAAAGGATAAGGTTGGAATTTTATAATACAGGGGTTTCAAGGAATGTAAATAAAAGCATTGAAAATTGGTTTTGAAAGATAAGTACCATAACTGCAACAGTGCTTTCAAACAACTAGAATGTAATGCCTAAATAAAATTGTAATAACATAAACTGACAAATTAAACCTATATAGTAATAGACTAGGGAATATTTTACATATCAGATGGAAGTTAAAGGTCTTATATACCAAAAAGGAAATTGAAATTATTTTCATTTTGTGATATTCTGTTTATTGACCTTTGTGAAGGATAATTTTTTTTCTTTTGAAACATTTTTGTTGGGATACAGAATACATGTAGCATTATCTAACACTCTTCAAGATCGCAGATTTTAAATTTGCTGTCTATTGATAAAATAATGAAAAACATTAGATAAATAAATAATTTTGGAGTGATCGTTAATAAACATTCTTTAAAAAACAAAGATTTACATCTTTGGTATATTTTCTTTTATTCTTCATTCTGCAATATGTATAAATATCATTTGCTGTTAGACTTATTCACGACTATCGGAAGTTACTTGAGAAATTTAAAAAAAGTTCGTTGCCTTCACAATTTTATTCCTTCCCTTTTCCTGATCTCTAGGGGATACAAAGACTAAATCTGTAAGAATAAAGGAAATAAAACTAGAAACTCTATCATTGGAGGCAATGGCTGTATGTCATCCCAAACTGGCAGTCCTTCATTTGAAATAATGATTATGGCGGCCATTTTTAAATGTTGGATGCACAGCTACACTTGGTGATTATTACATTATGACGTACTGTGAAGTTCCAAGCCAACTGTGAGACTCTTGTAGACAAATTGGTGGAACAATAACAGTATGTGCCTCGACTTTGTTTGAAATGGCACGATTAAAGAGATTTCGTACAACCCTTACTACAGAACTGTCATTAAATTTGACTGATATAAACAGTCCTTCAGTTATTTTGTTCATGTGTTTATGTATTAACCTTATATAGGCTACACATATGACGCAGATGTCATGTTTATCAACTTTGAAAAAGCAATTCTATGTAGCGAAGTGATACATGTATGTTAACATTCCAGGTGTAATGAATTCATCTAAATGATTAAGTCACTTTTTTCACTTTCATACTAGAAAAAGAATTTTTTCTTTTTCCAGTAAGTACCTTAAAAGTTTCCTTTTTGCTCAGATTCTGAAACTAGAAAATTAAAAATTTCGTCAAGTGTATCTACGCAGTGTTAAAAAAGCGTTTTTTTGGTGTCGCTGAATTTTGCTGTAAGTGAATTATATGAGGTAAAAAACTGTTTGGAGATTGATTTGTCATGTAAATTCATGCAGCCAAAAGCTAGGAGCAAAGTTCATATTCACATGCACGATTGCTATAATTAAAGTTAAGCAAAGGTAACCTATGTTAACATCTGACTGAATTTGGAAACAGTTTTTATCCCTCTTACTGTCAATTTGAATAGTTCTGGTTTGTTTAACGAACAAAGTTTAAGAATTAAGAAAACTGCATAATCTTTAATTTAGAATTTGTAAAATCAAAATATTTTACATTTTCAGGTGATAGTTAAACCAGAAAATGTTTTGCTAAGAACACGTTGTAAGTAGTTATTTTTTTAGGACATTATGATTAATTTTATTTTACAAGATCCCCCTTGCTTTCGTCCAACATATATAAGAATGGGAGAAAGTCACATTTTTTTATTAAGCTAGATTAAAGATGAAAGAAAAAAATGTCCAGTTTCCCTTTCTTGTGAGCAGAGTTCATAATTGTCATGACTTTATCATCATACGTACCTCTAGGTTTCTTTGCTTTTTGAGGTTTACTTAAATGATAATTTACCCTAGGATATGTAATTATTTACGTTCACTGAGGCGATGTTGGACCAGCTGGCTTCACTATTTAACCCAGCAATCTGTGTAAGGCATGTTTTTCTCATAACACCTTGGTCATGGGCATCCTGTGTTTAATTTTTTGTCTCTTTCTGGTGCTTCCCAGTGGTCATGGATTCTGTTTTTCTACATTTGGAAGAGTAGATGTAACAGGTATTGTATCTTTTCTTCATTGATCAATACTTAAGAAATTTATTTAGAATTCGTTTGATTTGAATATATTGTTTAGCTTTATTTATATATTTTCTTCCTAAAATTTCACAATCCTTATGATTGTTTTTTTTTCTCTTCAAAATACATGAATTTTTATAGCTATCAAAAATAAATACATCAAATGATTCAAGAGTTTTATTTCCATGAATACTTTAATGATTGATATTCTTATTGAAATAAATTTATTACTTTGATATTTACCATTGCTGGTTTAAGGACGTTCGATCCTGAGCTTTTGAGCAGATTTTGGTCTGGAGCTTTATTTCTAAAATTCTGCATTATTTTTAAGTTCTAACATTAAATCTAAAATATAAAATTTCTAAAATATTAATTAAATCAGTTTTTGTGAATTCTATCATCATATTGTGACAAATATAGAAAATATATTCTGAAACTCCAGGAAAAAAATTGAGCCAATTTTATCATAAAATTAACAGTTTTTTAGTAATATCTAAAAAATAACATCATAGACCTCCACTTTTGATTTTCTTTTCTGAATATATAAGATAACTCTGATCAATCTACTTAAATTCAGCAAAAGTTTAAGATTTTAAAATATTTTTCTTGCTTGTTAAATTCTTAATGCCCGAAAAATTACATTTTGTGAGTGCAGAAAGGTCAAATAATTGATTATGCGAAGCAATTTGAAAATTTTTCTTTGTCACAATTTTAATGTGTCTTTTTTAAGAGAGAATCATAGCATACTTTATCTCATGATTTACTTGGATAAAAAATATTGGAGGGAAAACGTCGAAGATGTTATTTTTGATTAAGACACAAATTCAGTGCAAAAAGGTCATTTTAAATGTACTGTAGCGCCAAAAGAAGCATATTGACCCCCATTTTTTGTTTTGATTTTTAATTAAGCTATGTGTGTAGAAGCTAAAAATATACTTGACAAAAAAAGTTTAAGACTTTAAATATCAGGATCCAACGTCGTTAAAAATATTTACACTTCTTTAAAAGAGTGTTTTGTTTCTATTCACTGTGTTTCCTTAGCATGGAATATTTGTACCTGTTCGCGCGAGTGGTGCAGTTATTCTCTTAGTGCAGTCGGCACACAAATGCTGGCATAAGACTTTTGCAAAAAATACCCCTGTTTAAACTTGCACTTCGAAAATTCGCCAAATTACTTCTAAATACCTTTTTATGCACCAACATTGAGAAGATATATTAAACTAGTTATAATTGTAACGGGGACCGTTACAGATGTTCCCCAAACGCTCCCCAACTCCCTTTTGGTGTCTTATTTTTTCCTGTAAGCTTCATTGAATAAGGCAATCAAGTATATTGTTTTTTTACGCATTACACGCGCGCGCACGTGCATGCATGTGCAGGATGGTCATGTCATTTCGTCTATACTATAAATGCATCTTAATTCTGAGTATTGAAATATTTCATCAAATAATATAAAAGTTACGGCTATATCAAGTATATTGTTCATTTAAGCATTGCACGCGCGCGCACGTGCATGCATGTGCATGTTGACCAAACTATCTTGTCTACACCATTAATATAATAAGTATTGAAGCATTTCGTCAAAAAGTATAAAAGTCACAGCTATATCAATTTTATAGGTCATTTTAGCATTGCACGAGCCCGCACGTGAATGCATGTGCATGTTGACCATATCATCTTTTCTACACCCTTAGTATCTCTCTATATTATAAGAATCAAAGCATTTCATCAAACAGTTTAGAGTTAACGGCTATATCAAGTATATTGGTCATTTTTCGCATTGCACGTGCGCGCACGCGCATGCATGGTCCTGCATTCAATTTTGATAGTAACATAATGTTGGAATCCATTGTACCTATTTATATTCTAAATTTCATCCTGTTTTGTTGAGAACCAAGAAAGTTATAGTCATTTAAAGTTTAAGCCAATCAGATTGCAGCACACGTGCATGCGCGTGTTTTCATGATAATTCTTATATATTATATTGTACAACCTCCAAATGTATGACTATGTTCTAAATTTCAAAGTATTTTGTCAAAAAACAAAAAAGATACTGAGACTTTTGTTTCAGCCAATCAGAGCGAAGCGCACGTGCATGCGCGTGAGTTCATGCTGATTTGACCATGTCATCTTGTCCACTCTACTAATATATCCTTAAGTTATAAGTTTCAAAGCATTTCATCAAAAAATGTAAAAGTTACGGCTATATGAAGTATGTCAGTCATTTCACTCATCGCACGCGCCCGCACGTGCATGCATGTGCGCGCAAAATGACCTTCGACGAGCACATCTACACAACATGCCTATTAACCCTAAAAAGGTTTTAACTCAATTGGATGAGCAGTTTCCGAGAACACTCGCGGAACAAAAAGTACCGGAGAAGAAATAAGAATAAAAAAGAATAATAATAATAACTAGATACTTATTGCCTAGGCAATAATAGGTCTTCCGTTTTCTTGACTTCTTTGAAAAAAAAAAACCACAATCATCTCAATAAGATTACTCTAATTAATAACAAAAGTTATCTTAAGGCTTCCAAAGATATGTAGATACAGATAAAAACAAACGGAATTACTTTTCTGTTTTCTTTATGTACTTCGTCATGAACGAAAGTGCTCCAAACGAATAAAATGTATAAAAATAATTTGCATGGTCATGGTCTATCTAACATCTGCATTAGCCAAACATTTCTGCAAAAAGAAAAAAACTTTAAAAATTCACTTTTTTGCATCGCTTCCTGTCACGACCGGAAGTGACGACAACGTACGATTTTTACATGATGTAGATAAACTGGTAACCAACTATAAGTTCTGAAAGTTTTTGACTTCAGTCATGTAGTGTTTTTGAGCAGTTAGGTGAACAAAATCTCAACTTGAGGACAGAAAAACACGCGACCGGAAGTGCATTTTCCTAAGATGGTTGACTTCACACTAGACAATTGCAGTCTCAATAACATATGTAAAAATCATTACAAAAACTTTATCAATAAGTGATATTTTTTGGGAATGTTAAAAATCCCAAAAACATAGTTTCTCTCTTATAACCAGAAAGTGTCGTTTTTTGTTTCCAGTGAGACCAACACATATAGAAACTGTGAAAGAGATTCAATTATATGATGCAAGTTTTATTTCAAAAGTGAAAAGTTTAAATTTTCGATTTCTTTGATCACTTCCTGTAACGACCGGAAGAGACGGCTGACGCTATTAACCCAAAGAGTTTTGCTTACTCATTAAGTTCTATTACTCATATAAGTTTGGTGTCTTAATCTCTTACCGTTTCTGAGATCTCACTTTGACAAGTTCTTATTTTGCGGAGAGTAAAACATGCGACCGGAAGTGAATTTTACCAAGATATTTGACGTTACTCTAGACATTTGCAGTCTAAAAAACATATCTAAAAATCATTTCAAATACTTCATCTATAAGCGATATTTATTGGAAAGTAAAATACTCAAATTATGTAGTTTTTCTCTTTTAACCGGAAGTTGACGTTTCTGTTTCTGGTGGGACTAACATATTTTGAAACTGTAAAACAGATGCAATAATGCGATGCAAGATTTAATTAAAATAAGAAAAGTTGAAATTTTCGATTTCTTTGATCTCCTCCTGTGACGACCGGAAATGACGGTTGACAGATTTAAACATATTCTGCAAACGTACTTGTCATGATCTATAATCCCTGAAAGTTTAAGGTATAAATCTTTTACCGTTTCTGAGATATCGTCCGGACATGATCTCTTTTGAAAAAACGGAAATTGGACATATCTGACGACCGGAAGTGAATTTTGCAAAATCCTTTAAAATGTTTTCAGTTTATTTTATTTTTCATAATCCCTGAAAGTTTCAAGAAAATCCATCGAGCCATCTCTGAGAAATCGCTTGGACAAAAAACGGGAAAAAAATAATAATAATAATAAACAGTAGAATCACTATAAGGTCTTCCGTCTGAAACGGAAGACCTTAATAATAATAATAATAAGAAACAGAGTAAAAACAATATGTTCCCAAACTTCGTTTGGGGAACATAATAACTATGTTAGCTTCGTATGTTTTCATGACAACTTAAGAAAGATAACAAGTAGTGTAAGGATATTGAGGAGGATGTGCAAAAATTACCGAGATCTTTCATCTTTCAGCAACTGGACGCAGGGTTCCAGTATGTGAATTCAATGGTATTGACTTTCTAGATGGCTCAAAGTTCACAACAACAGGTTGTAACGAGTGTGAATGCAAAAAGGGTCATTTACATTGCTGTGGGTAAGTCAGTCATCATGTTTAGAAAAACAATAAAAAAAACCTTGTAGATTAGCCATTCAATACTGTCGAAAATCAAAATGAAAACATTCATATATCTTCATATTATGAGAATGTTAGATATGATATCTTGTTCTTTTTTATTCGGGTAAACATATATTTCAGCATTGGTACAAACGCTGGTGTAATAACACCTCGTCCAAACTGCAAAATTCTGAAGGACGGTTGTATAGCAAGAGAGGTTAGGATATCTGACGAAACACTTGACTGTGTTACCGGAAAGCCTTATCGAAACGATACTGGTGAAGTTACATTTCCAACAGGCGCCACACCTATACAAACAGATACTCCCAAACCAACTGACACGATAGGAGGTGTAGCTGTAGGACATATACCTCATCCAAGCCTCTCCAAACCCACTGTTAATTCTATTCCCAACGACGTGGCAACTTTGGAGAATATCTTCAATACTATCGCTAACAATGCCCAGAAGGGAAAACGTACTTCCTTTGATGACCTTCTTCGTGACTTTTCGTCCAGAAAATTTCCAATACAATCCAATGTTGTGTATCCTAAACTTCCGAACTATCCACAGAATCCACTAAATCCATACACAAGCTCATTCCAGCTGTTTGACCCATACACAACTAACGACGCCATGTCAAACTGGCTAATGTACAATGGAATCATGGATGGTGGTTTTTAGATCACAATAATAACACAGGAAAATTTAAACCAAGCTGGACTGAATATATTCTGAGATGCCGACCAATAAAAGACAACCTGCAGCTGGATAGATCTGTAAGACTCTAAAGACTTGTTATTTTGTTTATGTACATGTGCATGTGTTTTAAATAAAATATAAAGAAATATATGGTTGAGTGGTAAGATTGAATTGTTCTCATGTGAATAAAAACGAAACATACATGCATTATATTGAAAAATTATTTTATTTGTATAGAAATTTTTGAATCTTATCTTAGTTGTTATAAATAATGTTTTATGTGTATTTTCCTTCAAAAAGTTTATATAATTTTCAGATTCAAATAAATATTCATGATGTCCCTCTCCTCCTTTTCTAGCTCTTCTTCGTGGTGGTTCTTTTTTTCAAATTTTATTCAAGCTTGAGATAGCTATTGCACTTGTCTCCAGTCAAGTCACTTTCACTGTTCTCTCTTTGTTTTCCTTGGTTGTGACCTGCTCCTACTTCTTTTGATTAATCTGGGTGAATAAATGCACCTGGATTTCTTTAGTTAATTTATTGCTAGGCCGATTTGGGTTAAAGTTTCTAATTTCATCTTTTTTCGTAAAACCAGAACATGTTGTGATATCGTGAGTCTTCGAAAACGTACGCACACACTGTAGGCAATTTGATTTTTTTAAAAATATTAATTCTACTTATTAGATACTTAGAATATAAAGGTTACAATTGGATTTTTGTTCATTCTTTGGTTTTGGGCTTTAATTTCCTTACATGTTGGAACGACGTATTTCCTTATATTATTTGTAATTATTTCCATGCAAATGCTGATAACGAAATCATGTTCAGAAGTGAAAAAAAAAACCAACCTTATCGAAAGCAGAGCAAACAATGACCCCTGAATAGATCCGAGTTCGGATCAGATGCCGTGGAAGATTAAGCATTCCATGACGCTCGGTGAGCCTTTGTCCTGATCGAGTATACGGAGACAATTCAGTATAAAAATAATGGCCCAAGAATCCGTATTACATACGTCATTCAAAATTCGAAATGACTACAGGTGGTGATTGCAAACAAGGTCATGTACTGACTTTAGAGTTTGCATAATATTCACTTAAACTAAGATGCTGATACCCTCGTAAGATCAACTTATATGTCAGTAGCCTGCCTCTGTTAAGAAATTATTCGTACGCAGAAAATGCCCTTGCGTACATTAACACTATAGGTGGGAGATAAAGGAAAGTTGATAATCATCATGCTTATCATACAGTTAAGTTCTATTTTACCATCAGTCTTTTTCTAGTAAAACATCTAAATAAGAAACAGATTTGCTAAATTATGCGGTGTCTTTTATTTCGAGTTCAGTGGGATACATTGAATCAACGTTGAATGAAAATTAATATCGGTGTTTGAAAATAAATGTCAAACTGCATGAAGGCACCTGCAAGAGTCTTTTCATGTAGAAGTTTTTGAATAAATTCTGCTTCATAAGAGTATAAAAAACAGGTCTACTTATAAAAAAAACTTACTTAGTACCTTCTGGAATTCCAACAGATTTGAAAGCCCGGTCTCCAAAAACTAGAAAAATATTTTCAATGAGGAACTTTTTAATATAAAATTAGGGATACGTATGTTTAGAAGCAGAATAATTTTTTAAAAATTTTGTAAAAGAATAATCTAAAAATGAGTTCATATTTATTCATGAAGCAGTTGTTTACGATGTCAAAAAGGATCTTTAATTTATCTTGAGGAATAGTTGTATAATATGTTGGGGAAAAATTATGTTTAATTTGATGCTTTTGATTTTGGCAAAATTGTGGGATTTAAATCAAAACTTTCTAAAAGTTTTTTTAAGAATACACATTTGAAAAACACCACTTCTTGAATATGTTGTTTCACAGTACTTCTGAAGTTTCTACTTCGTTGCTATAAATATTTTTGAGGAGTAAAAAAAGAGGCTTTGACAGTTGGTAGACTTTTTACTCGATTCTCCTTTGTATTTTTGTTTGTAAGGATTTTTGTTTTTTTTAAATTGAATCCAGGATATGTATGGTAATTCAAATTCAATTTGGTTTTCTGTAATATTTAAAAAAAATTAAAACTAACATATGAAAAGTTTCTTCCTTTGAAAGGATTTTTTTTTTGTGTGCTAATTTTGCTAATTTTAATATCTTTACTATTATTAGGTTATCTTTTTGTTAATTTTAATATCTTTTCTATTATTAGGTTATCTTTTTGTTAATTTTAATATCTTTTCTATTATTAGGTTATCTTTTTGCTAATTTAATATCTTTACTATAATTAGCTTATCTTTTTGATAATTTAAATATCTTTTCCATTACTGTACTAGGTTATCTTTTTGCTATCTGACACAAATAGGATTCATTCTTTTTCAATCATTTAACATATATTGTTGTTCACATTAAACATCTTCTATTTCAGGACTTTGTGGCATTTCACTTTTCAGTCCAGGGCATACGTTGTGAATTGTTTGTTTTAGATAATAATTTTTCCACAAAACATTTGTTTTATTTCATTTCTTCCAATTCTAAAATTCGATTTTACCGTATTATCATCTTCGCAAGCCAAGGGTTTTCGGTTCCGCTTCGCTAAAACTCTGGGCTTGCGAAGATGCAGTATTACATGCATGTATTATTCTCAAAGTTAATACTGATATGGAATTCAGGAGAAATAAATGCTCAAAATCTTTAAAGAAAAAAAGGTTCTAAGGTTCTGAAGTTTTAATAAATCAAACTATCATTGAAAGTTTCTAAGTATCGGAGAAAGAAATATAATAATCTGTTATAGATAGTTATAGCTATAAGTTGAATTATAGCTACATGCGACTATAATAAATTTTTATAGGGGATCATCTATTTTCTTTATCAACCTTGTAGTCTACATAATGACGTATTACATTGTACTAAAACAATCATATACTCAAAAGTACAGATCAAGCTGTCCATTGAATGATACCAATAGCCTTAAAAATACATCTGGGCTATAATAATTTACATATAGCAGTGATTTAATTTCCTATCGATTGTTGACGGGCAGACATCCATGCTTTGTCAATTTATGACAACTACAAATTAGTACAGATATTAGACAAATCGATTTTCATCTCTAGTACAAATTCCATTACATAAGAGAATAAAAATCTCCACATTATAGCGTACTATTGCATAAGTGTGGAAATTAATGTGTCGTTTCCAGTCGTGCATTGTGTCTGCGATCACGACAACTTCTGACAAAATACTTTTACAATTTCTGTACTAGTTGTATTGATGTATGGAACAAACAATTGATTATGTTATAACCTCGTTCAGTCTGATATCAGAGAATGTAAGTGATTATTGAAATAAAAATTAAATAATAACAATAATAAACTTAATAGAAATTGAAATGAAAACGTTAAGATCTGTGCGTGTTAAGAAGCAGATGAGGGGTGCGCCAAATTTTGCTAGAAGGGACATTATAAGGTGCGTCAACTGTATACCGACCGATGTGTGAGGATTCTTCATTTCGGCAAGATGAGTCAAACAGTAACGTTCGGATGGATTTGGATTCTAGGCTTACTGTTTGCAGTTGTTGCCTATGTGCAGTGTTCATGCACAGTTACACCAGCCAAAATCGAAAAGACATGTGAGTAATTATATTTTTCATTGAATTCGATTAAATATTTTATAAAAGCTTAAGACTCCGCTATCATTATGATGGCGTCAAAATATTTAACCAAAATTGAAATTATCCGTGTTAACCTTTGCTTTTGTTCAAATCATAGTTCGCAACATTTTGCGTATTCTTTAAAATTTTGTTATTTTCAAAATTGGTTTGAAATTATTCTCAATATTGGATTTATCATTTTAAAATGCAGATACTGGTCGGGTAAGGCACTACTGTGTGCATAATGTCACCAAAGGAAACTCAACCGCCCAAATTGAACTCCTGCTGGATTCTAAATTTGAAACACGTGACTGTCAAAGGTGCACATGTAGTCGAATGGGATTAAGTTGTTGTGGGTAAGATTCATTAAAACATTCAATTAATGCCAATTCTAATCAGCGATTCTGTGTTCTGTTTCTGAAAATTGGGCCATATATGAACTCCGTTTACGGTAACGAATTGCTGAATACTTTTTCGTACATTTAATTTTGGCGGTAGCAGAAAATTTACATACATGTTATGCAGCAGTATCCTTTTATCACCAGCCAAACCGGAGCCATTTCTATTATTGGACTTACAAGCATAAATAACGGACGTAAACAATAACGTTAGTGCTGGTAACAAAGTATTTCTAATACATACGTATATGACTAAATAAAACCTTTTACAATCATACATTGAAAAAAAAACATGATTTTTCTCTCAAAATAATCAATCCCATATGTTGTTTTTGAGAAATTAACTGGACAAGACACACGGTGGCATATTGTTAAATAATAATTTTACATACAATGTAAATTCACAGGTGTTCTAAGTGCCAAAATCAGAGAGCGGAATTTTTGTCAATTCCTTCTTTTTTATGAATCATTTGTAAGAAAATATTTTTTTTTAAAAATGCTTTCAACTTAACTTATAAATCTTGTATTTACCTCAACACCGTAAATTCATAATTTACAACACAGACTAAATGTATCCAGGTATTGTTTAGTGTCGAGATCAAGTTAACCATTTATTACGTTCTCGGTGGAAGGGGGTGGGTGGTCTTTTCTATATCCCTTGGAAATGCGTTAGCGGTAGGTTCAAAAAACCTTCCTCCTTAACCTTCCTCTGTACAAAAAACTACTTAGCGCCAAACACAATCCTTCTAATTTCATTTTGACGTGAGATCAATACCAAGGTTACAAATGTGATTCAGCAGGCAAACAGTCATTCAATTTATGAACCAATTATTCGAGGATCAGATTATTTATTTTTATAAAAATAAATTATTACTTTCAAACTTAATCTTTTTTTTGTGTTGGTGATTTTCACATTTTCCCAAAATCATGTCAAGTGACATGTCATAATTTTTCACTGTTTAATTTTCTCTTCACTTCTTCCTATGGAATCTCGAGAATTCTCATTGGATCCTCGAGAAAATTTGTGTGATGTCATTACAAATTTGCTGTTGTTAAGATACACTAATAAACAATAAGAAATGCGTTCCAAACTTATTAGAAGGGTTAAAACATCCCTTCGTTTTACTTCGATTCCAATATCAGCTCAATTACCAAACCAATACTGTCTATGGTCAGATTGGCTTGACAAAGAATGACCATTCTGAAAGTATTCATAATTACAAATCAAAATGTGCGCATTTGGCGCGTGATCTGTGGAAATCGTGTGTACGAAACATTTATGGTTTAAATGTTCACGATTTAGACAGACTTTACAATATTTACGATAACATACTGATACTTCACATAAATGATAAATAGATAAATAGTTAAATTAAAGTTTCAGAAGGTTGGAAGAATTGCTTTCGCTCTCTGTGCAACTGAACCAAAAGTTATCTACCTTTAAAATTAAATAAATCAGTAAGTAAAACTAAACTTACAAACAACTTGATTGTATGAATAAAAAAAGTAATAAAAGTTCCATACGAGGATCGATCCAAAAACTCTTCGATTTCTTAGTGCTTGAGACTTGTCAACGTATACTACTTAACTATCATCGCTATACAAACAATATTAATTTAAAACGACAATTGAAGCAACGCATTTACACAATGGAATTCTTTTTTTAAAAAGTTCATTCCTATGGTCTCTGGGTCAATTTTCTATTTTTTTTTTTATAAAAATTGTTTGCTCGATTCTTTGAATTAAAATGCACACAAACAACGTTTTAAAATCGTGTAGAGAATGTCCCAGAGATAGCAGATTTTTTGGGGAAAATTGTTTAAAAGTGTAACATTTTGTATCAAATGACTCATCTAATCATATTTCGTGTTATTGATTAGCAAATTAAAACACGATGTGACAGTTCAATGAAATTTTCACTTTTCAAGCCTGCCGAGTGCCAATCAAATGCACCTTTGTTCTTTTCAACGAAATAAAATCACGGATAATTCTTTCTTTCTTTTTTGTAATTTACTTACATTTTTGCCTTGGATTTTTTAAAAAAATCTTTAAATCTTCAACATATTTTGTAATCTTATACAAAATACAGATTTGTGATTTCATTGGAATAGTTGCATATGTTGAATTGCTTTTCATCTCATTACATGGTTACGTTATCAACATCGATCTTTACATCTTGCAGTTGCAATCTCTGAGAAATAGTTAGCAAAAGCATGTACATTTATTTAAAATCACATCTTTGTCTGAATTGTAAATTACAAAATATATTTGGGTAGAAAACAAAAGAGTAGTGTTTGGGCTTTGAGCGTGTTCATTAAACACCATAATAAATTCAATGTTTTTGTGCAGACAGTATGACATTTATATTGAAGATTAATATTGTCCGAGCTCTTCACCCCAGGGTCTACTTATCAATTACGGACAAGACTTTAATCAGGGAATCTGACAATTGACAAGGACGTGCAGAGGGCACATGGCGAACTGTCATCGCTGCATACTTCTATGATCACCTGGCCCTGAGGACAAAAAACGTTTTATCTTACTAGACTAGATATATTAAAAAAAAGAAGAAAATAATATAAATTTACTAATTCATTATAAAATATTGGTCTATACTATATTATTTTGTATTCTCTTTAAAGATGATGTTCTAAATGGATAATTAGGATAGGTTTTGCTATTAGAAAGTATATATCTAATTAAATATCATTACTTTTGTTCTATACACATGTACATGTATAAATTAAACAACCTGAGTTTGTTACAATCAATATGGAATAAGAATTCTCAAAAAGGATGTTTGCTTTCTTTTTAAGATATGGAGTAGCATCTAACGAACCCATTCACGTACCAAAAGGCTGTCATCCAGTGGAGGACGGATGCCGGATCGCTTTGATTTCCGACATCGATAATGTGACGGACTGTTACAGCATCGGACCACCGGCCGCAGAGCGCCGCCAGCAGGAAATGATGAGAGATATGGCTAGGAGTATGGCCCATCAACAATATCCACAAGCAATGCAATACTGGCGAGGACTCAATCCACCTCGAATTCACCCAATGGCGGCGCTTTTTGGGGGCGGAAGGAGAGGGCCAAATGGTCGTATGGTCGAACAACCTGAGGGCCTGATGGAGTCGTTCTTGTTGATGAGTATGTTTGGCGGTGGAATGGGATTGGATGGAGGTAGTGGACTCGGTCCTCAATCTACTGGTGCTTCTGGGGATCCAATAGGACATATGGGAGGCGGAGGACAAAGTATGGGCGGATTGGGAATGGGTGGGTCTTTTATGGACTCTCCATTAGGAATGAGTCTTTTATTTTCGTCGTTCATGAGTTAAAGGAGTGTAAAAACATTTGTCCTCAATCATTCTGGATTTTTTTTATCAATTCTGTTGTTGGAATACGAAGTCTGTGGCAGATTGCTTATTTAAGAAATGATCGATCTCACTGCCAGTAATAAATGTGTCGTTCATTAATTCTTTTATCTGAAGCTTAAAACAATTTCAGATTGAAAATAAGTCAACAAGTGCTATGACAGCAATATTTTTGTTCAACTTATGAAAAAAATTCAATTACAAGATTACAAAAGCAGGAGTTTATTAATACTGATATCACAGTTGATCTTCATAAGACGCGTGTAATGAGCTAAACATTGTTATTTATTTTTGTTTTGTGTTGTCGTTTATTTATTGCATTAATATTACAAATAAAAAATAATAAGATTTTGTTTTCTGTTCCATTTTATAAACATCACATACACAGTACACAAACCTCTTTAGTACATATAGCAATTTCACAGATTTATTTTCTGTGTGGTCTTTCACATAGCTGCAAGTGCTAATCTATCTGGATATACATACAAGTTTTAAAAAGGACAATCCACTCAGTAAAATACATATTGGTCAGATTATTTTTGTCTAACATCATACTTTATATCCATTGTAAAATGTATATTGTAACCTGTATGTCATGCACAAGTATGTATTTTTTGTTTATGTAATTGCTTGCCCCATGTGGGTGTATAATGCAGATAAGAAGTGGTAATTAATATATCATATTTGGCATCGCACCCCCCCCCCTTCAAAGACGTACATGTTAATGTAAATGAAATCCTCATTCCGATTAAAAATGATGGATATGCAATTGTCTCGAAATCAACCTAGGACACAAGCATATTTGAATAGGTCAGCATATCACCACATTAATTATGCATAAAACATCGATATCGTGAGCATTTTACTTACAAAAAAATGGTGAAACAGTTATTTTTTCATAAATTGGTTCATATTCACAGCACGCAAGTAAACATGCATGTGAATGTGTCGTTAAAAATATATATGAATGACATATCACCGAAGAATCTAATAAATTAATTCTTTTCTTCAATACTGTCTTGTTATTAATTTTCAATCTAAAGTTGAAAATGTAGTTGTCTTGTAGTCATTTTCAACTTTAGATTGAAAATTAATAACAAGACAATACAATGACTACGAAGATCGGATCTGTTATGATTTTTACTCTTCATAAGTTATACCAAATTACTTTTGCATCCCCGTAACCAATAGAGGATAACAATGAAAATAGCATCGAGTTCCCACACATAGTTTTTAGAGTGAATTGTTAATACACTTTGTTAGGTTTTCCACGAATAAGTATCATACTTATGTTTGCCTACAGATTATGTTCCTGTGGTTTCAGACGGGTTCGACCACCGGTGGCCACATAGATCAATTGATATAGCTCTTGTCTAGAGTTTAATGGGCTCGAGTTTAAATCTTGGTCTGGTCCGTCAAATTTTCTCTCTTCCTGATGCCGTGTCATGCCCTAAAAGGAACATGTAAAAAGCCTGTCTTGGATTAACCTGTCTTTAATGTCGCTAGTATGTAGGTTCGGTCACCCGTGTGAAGAGAGCTCGGCTTATAAAGTTCCTGTTTAGAATTCAGATGACCCGGGCTCAAATCCTTGTCTGGCCTGTTGCATTTTCTATCTTCCTGGTACATTTAAAGCAATAACCTAAAGGTGATGTGTGAAAAACCTGCAATTAAAGATCAGAGTTCGTGTGTTCGGGGTGAAGACATTTAAAGAGGAAGGAATGTGGCGGTCAGGCAGGCTCGATCGCAGGTGGCCAGACAGCTCAGTTAGTAAAGTACATGTCTAGGAGTTCAGGGGACTTGGTTCGAGTCTTGGTTCGTTGCGTTTTCTGTCTTCCTGATACATTTAAGCCATGACATAGATGTGATACTGAAAAACCTACCAGGGAAGAAACTGGGTTTGTGTGTTCGGGTTGGAGATATTTTAGGAGAGTGGAATGTGGCGACCAGGTAGGTTAGATCGTCGGTAGCCAGGTAGATCAGTTAGCAAAGCACCTGCCTAGAGTTCAAGGAGCTCAGGTTCGAATCCTTGTACGTCCCTTTCTGTTACCACACTACTTGATAACATATTGAATATTACCTATTACTATAAATCACCTTTTTATTTGCGAGAACTTAATTACGCGAGACGGTCTGATCCTTAAAATTTTATTTCTCTTGTGCATTTTCATAAGCATAGGATATATACAGCAATAATCAGCATTCTAGAAAATTTGTCCTGCTTAAAAATAACCAAATACCCATCTCGCAAAAATAAGGTGTGAAATGTTTATGTTTATAAATTCAGTATTTATTTCATACGAGGGTCGTTCAATAAATAATGCAAAATGTCATCTAAAAATAGGAAAAGCACATACATGTAAAGCAGATTCTTAATACTTTCAATCCCTGTTATAATTTACACATATCTAAAGTCTTTGTACCCATGTTAAGAGAACTTCAGCATACTCATCGTTAGGGATGCCCTAAGGACACTCATGGTAACTATATTTTTCATAAAATGAGTTCCTTAAATATCCATGTTAAATGACTTCATAAATTCGACACAGTCTTGTCAAGAAGTATTTCATATTATATATAGTTTCCAAGAGCAATCGAAGTGTATCTTGTATCTCTCTTAAAAATCTATAGTGTAAACTTCTGCATTAAGACAGGTCTGTTCTTCTCTTTGTGGTCTTTCTGCTGATAGGATAATGTGAGGTCTAGATCTGTTTTGTTCTCCTCGTTTGTTATATGAATAAAATAGTAGGCAATGCAGTCTACAAAGTTATTTTTGTCTTATTTCTTTATAGATCATACATTTCGTGAAACTTCACAAACAATAAAATTGACCATCCCCCAGACATCTGAATTTGTGTTTCATTTTTCAGTTATTCCATACGTAAATTCGATTGGAATAATCCTGTTCATATCCTTTCAAAAAGTGCTTAATTAAGAATGCGGTATCTTTCAGTTTGGTGAAATGCAGAAATGTATTAGATATCTATTTTTAGGGGGAATCAGGAAATATGCTAGCAAACATGTAATATGAGTTGAAATGTTTCAATTTGCTAAAGTTAAGGGGAAAAAACCCAAGAATTTTTAGGCAACATCAAATATAATATATGTAGGGCACAGTTCCATGGAAATAGCTTGACTTTCATCAAAACTTTCAATATTGTCTACCATCTAAAGATCTGCACAATTAATGCATGTATACTGTATTCATTGACCTATTAACACAGAGGGGCGAGATGCGTGAAGAAATTGTCATTTGGTCGTAGAAGTTCAGATTTATGCAGGTGAAAATCGCCCTATGAAAAATGATGGCCCAAGTAGCCAGGCAGCCAGCTCATAATCTCAGGTGCGAGGATCGCCACACAAACTTTCGCACCTCACAGAGTCCTGTACATTTTCTGTTGTCTTGCTCTTTATTTAAAGAATGCACGTTTTGACTATATTCCTGCTTTTGCTTTCGATCGCGCATTCTTGTCTAGGAGCTTGTAGAACCACGCCCATTCAGAATGAACCCTCAGGTAAGAAAATCATATTGAATAAGAACAAGGTATTGTACAGATAGAATAAGAAAACTTTTTGGGGGAAAATGTACATGTTCAGTGGTTTTAAGTTTTATGGCATCAAATGATATAAGTTCATTTAAATAGGTTGACAAAAATTTTGCTGGTTTAATTGGTGAGATTTATAAGAACAGTTTTAAGACTTCATCGTTAATTTTTATGTTAATTTCAGTTATTGAAAGTAATAAATGTATAATTTGCACTGGTTTCAAATATTTCTTCGGGATGGGATGAGAATTAAGTTTTGGTTTTAGCATGTGGAGACTATTTATCTATCTGATATATGGATATGTCTTTCCGTGGTCTGGACACATACATATATATAAATGCAGGTGTCTGAATAGACCTGACAATTTGTGGTGCATCAAGATTTTTTAAAAAGTATTTTCTAGGTTAAAACAGTAAAATAATACGATGAATTGCATGCTATATATACAAACAATTGAGTGTTGTAGTCTTTTCTTGCTGTCGTTCGTATGCAGGTAGAAAAATTATTTTTAATGTTTTCTTTTGCATTTAAAAAATGAAGAAAAAAAACATATTAAAGGTTTTTTTTTTTTTTTTAGAGAAAATGTAATTTATCACATGTGTCATCTTCGCTAGCCAAGGGTTTCTGATACGCTATTCTCCTCTTAAACCCTTGGCATACGGTGCTGACAAAAGACGTGATTGTTTTTGTCACGTGATCATGAATCTTACCAGGTACGCACAGATTGCGTCATCGACAGAAATAAAAAGCGTATTCCAAAAAAAAATTGTTTTTAAAGAATAATTAACAAGAAGGTATTGCGTTATGTTAATTTGTTATTTAAACATGTAAAAATGCAAATCTACATCTTCAGTATAGATTCTTAATCACATATTTTGCTCGTTGCTTTAGAAATTGAATGACACCATATTGCTATTCATAGAATGGCATGTAATCTTACGGATCATTGTTTACTTGCGTTTTACATTACCGATATTAAAGAGTCAAGATATATCCCGAACGCAAATATCGTCATTTACAAAAAAACAATTGCTGATTGGTCGAACGATGTCGATCAACTCCAATCACAACTTGAGAAAAAAATCCCAACTTTTTTTAACACCGTATGCCAAGGGCTTATGAGGAGAGTAGCGTATCAGAAGCCCTTGGCTAGCGAAGATGCACATGTGTCTACATTTCTGAAGTTGTGTTCTCTCTTTGTGTTTAATCTGAAATAAGAAATGCACAATGTATTGTAATTCATGACCTCGAAAACCTACTCAGTGTTTAGACCACTGGACGATTATATCTCTCAGATTTTTTTAAAAACAAAATTGAAAGGTCTTTTCCTTATAGTGAAATAGAAAGTTATGTTTCCGATTGTGAAACATATGTTTATATGGAAAAACATAATAAGAGAGTTCAGACGAATAATACATCCATCAGCATGGCCAACGTCATCGTAAATTATCAACTCACAAGATAACATTTATTATTTAATCGGCATTTAAAACCATAAATAACAAAAAGATTTTAAAAATCATAGAATTATTTTTTTCTATTATAGCGTTCAATTCATTTCGATATTTTTGTGAATATATCCACAACGACAAAATAAAAGGGCCGACAAAAATTAAGTATCGACAAGGTTCCATATTTGAAGATGTTGATTCCTGTCAGAGGTGTCGATGTAGCGAGAGAGGAATGGACTGCTGCGAGTAAGTATCGATGTAACAGAGTAAACCTTCTCTCATAGTAAATTATTCCCGGAAGATTTACTGTATAGTTAATCCTCTCCCATGGGGTTCAGATTTTACGTATAATCCTTTTCCAGTAAATGTATATGTTAAATATCCACAACGAGTAAGGGTGCCTCTACAAAAATTTGAAATTAATGGCCCTTAGGTCTGGAGTTCTGGTGTTAGGGCGGGGCTCTATTGATTTTATAGTGAAAATGCATGAATTCTTTAAAAATTTCTTCTCTGCTCTTGGGAATTACATGTAAGAAGACAAACTAAGTGCATAGTTGTGATTAGCAAGTATGCCACTTCCAAATTTGTGAAATTATGGGCCCCTGAGTCAGAAATTCTGGTATTAAAGTGTGAGACTCTATTGATTATATAGTGAAAAACCTTCTTTTTTTTTTGAAAATCTTCTTCTCTGTTCCTGGGCATTTAGCAGACAAACTAAGTGAATGGTTATGATAACAAGGGTGCTACTTTTAAAAATTAGAAATTCATGGCCTCTGGGTTTCTGGTGTTGGAGTGGGGCTTTATTGATCATCAGTAAAAATGCGTAAGTTCTTTAAAAATTTTCTTCCCCCGCATATTAAGTGCATGGTTATAATAAGCAAGGGTGCCTCTACTAAATTTTGAAGTTCATGGCCCTTTAGTCAGGGGTTTTGATGTAAGAGTGAGACTTTATTGATTATGTAGTAAAAATACATGAAATGTTCTTCTGATTTGCATGTATATTTAGCAGAGAAACTAATTGTAAGTGCAAAATAATAAGCATTGAGTCCTCTGCCAAAATTGTGAAATTCATAGTGCCAGGGTCAGTAGTTCTGGTGTTAGGTTAGGGCTCTATTTATCATTTAGTGAAAATGTACGAATTCTTTATGCTCATTTAGGCTCAGCATTATTATGCACTTAGTTTGTCTGCTTAAACCCAGGAACAGAGAATAAATTCTTCTCTGTTCCTTGGTTTTGAGCAGAGTAATCGTTCTGCTGAATAGTTATTGCATAGCAAGAACTTCAAAATAGTTCAGTGAGCATGTATACAACTTCCATTCGAGTGTTGAATTAACATTTATCAAAATAACATAAATTTATGAAAATTCCAGTGGAATTATTAATTTCAATACTTCTTCTTACAGTACTGGATTGAAGGTAAAAATAGAACCAGCGTTAATTCCCGTAGAATGTCACACCATTAAAGACGGTTGTGATCAATATTTAGTCTACAAAGGCGACAACACCACGGATTGTGCTACCGGGAGACCTGCTAAAATGGTACGACAAGAACAAATTGCAGAAGACAAACGAAGTCAATATATTGAAGATATACTCTACAAAGAGGTAATGAAAGAAATGGGTGCAACAACCGGCGCCAATAATGAAGGCGAAGGAAATCTAAAGCAATGGGTTCTTTTAGACTACTTTCTGAATGACGCATTTGTCGGCCGAATTCCATCTCCCATTGTGGAACAACAGAAGGCTCGAGAACTGTTTGGGTCTTCACCAATAAAAGCAAACATAGCTGATTCAAACCTCGGCGCACTTACTAAAGGCTTTGTTGACAGTCTCGGAGGACCGGATGCTGCGCGCGCAACTTTAATGGAAAGAATTAAAAAGTATGGCAATGGTGGTCCCACGAATCAGGAACCAAACGATAACCTTCCACTTCTTTACATTCTGTCAATGTTGTTAAATTAGAAATCCGGTGAGCCAGAGAAAAGGGTAGCTTTTTTCAATACTTGTACTCAGTAAGCCCTGAACATTGCTCCGTAGGTATATGTATACGGAATGGATTCAATGTGCAAATGAACGACTAAAATAGGCGTCGCCCACTTTCAAACTATAGTCAACTTTGAGAGGACAAGAATTTCTGTTCTGGATATTATTCTACTAAAATCACGTGCTGGGTGTTATTTTATGTAAATTTACTCAGAATACTTAATTAATCTTAAGAAGGATTTCTCAGTCCTCGCCACTTTCAAACATCCATAAGAACATTCATTTGGTTGTCTTGGTCATTTTAACCCTACCCGAAAACAAGACCTAAATGATAAGATTGTGTTTGCCGCGTATATGTGGTAAAGATATTGTACTCAACTACTCATATTATAATCTTTTGTAAACAACTATTAATTATGTATATATATATAATAAATCATTGATACCATTTTTAAATTATATTTTGTCTTTTATAATTATTGTTTTCTTTTTAAAATTGTTATTAATTATTATAAATTATTATAATTAATTATAATTATTTTTGTCTGATTGAAAAGACGCAAAAAAAAAAAAAAATCCACGCGACAGTGAACTTGTAGTATTTTGATGTATCCTTGAGGGAGGTAGGAAGCAATTTCAGTTGGAGGGGGGGGGGGAGGCACAGTCATACATTTTCAGTTGGGGTGGGGGCTCTATCAACTATTCCAAAAATTCCTTGACAAGCAAAAAAAAAAAATTAAAAAAAAAAGGTCATCAAACGTTTTTATTGACGGGACACAAGCATAGAGTAGCTATGATTTCTATAGTATTCTATATTTCGGTAAAATTATGGGGTGGCACGCCCATAATTTGGGGGGCACCCCCCAGTTCCTACGATCATCCTCTTTAACACAAATTCAACAAATAATCACTTTAACAGCGAAAAAAGCGCAGATTTATATTTATCCCGTATGCTTAATTTTCTTTGAAAAAATGATCTTTTATTAGAGTCCAGGCCCCAGGATCATGAAACAGACTTAGACTTAAGTCAAATTTTCAATCGCCCATAAAATGTTTATTAATTATTGAATCAATCTCTGAATTTGCAGATAAAAACAATTGTTTGAAGCAATGCTGAAAAATATTTTAATTTTGATCTGCTTGACTTTAACAACATTTTAGTAGAACATAAAGATTTTGAATTAAGCTTAAGATGTTTCATGATCCTGGGGCCAGGTTGTGAAAATATTCATTTCCTATTAATCAAAGAAAGGATTTTTTTCAGGATCAAAGGTGAATTCAAAGAAATTAAATCTTGTACTATTTATAATTGCATGTAGTTATCATTATTTTTTTTTCAAAAGGTGTTCAGAGGAGACGATTAAGGAATATAAATCTCCTGGCTTAATTTTGTACAAAATAGGGATATTTCCAGTACCAAACGTATATTTGATATTTTAAAAACACACACACAGTAGAAAATATTTTTTTTCCATCTAAGACGGAATCAATGCGATTCTTAAAAATTAAACAAGAGGCCCATGGGCCACAACGCTCACCTGAGTCAATATGGCCCTGTTGTTCTTCGTCAGCAGATTTCTTCTCATATATATTCATATGTAAAACTTCGATCGCCTGTCATGATTTGAACAAGTTTGAATCTACACTACCTGAGGATGCTTCCATATCAATATGACTCATCATGGCTTTGTTGTTCTTGAGAAGAAGATTTTTAAAGATATTTCCTATATATGTTCTTCTGTAAAACTTTGATCCCCCATTATGGCCCCACCCTACTACTGGAGGATGCCTTGAACAAACTTGAATCTACAGTACCTGGTGATTACTTCCATATCAGTATGACTAATCATGGCTTTCTTGTTCTTGAAAAGATTTTTAAAGATTTTTCCTATATATTCCTATGTAAAACTTTGATCCCCCATTGTGGCCCCACCCTACACCCAGGGGTCATGATTTGGGGGAAAAAATTGAATCTACACTAACTGAGGATGATTCCCTAGTCAATATGACTAATCGTGGCTTTGTTGTTCTTGAGAAAAAGATTTTTTTCTATATTATCTTAAGTAAAACTTTGATCGCCCATTGTGTACCCACCCACTCCCCGGGGGTATGATTTTGACAATTTTAATCTACACTACCTGAGGATGATTCCATATCAATATGACTAATTGTGGCTTTGTTGTTCTTGAGAAGAAGCGATTTAAAGATTTTTCCTATATATTCCTATGTAAAACTTTGATCCCCCATTCTGGCCCCACCCTAACCCCGGGGTTCATGATTTGAACAAACTTGAATCTACACTATGTAATGAAGGTTTCACATAAGTTTTAACTTTTCTGGACCAATAGTTCTTGAGAAGAAGATTTTTAAAAGATGACACCAAATTTTCACCAATTCTTAATTATCTCCTCTTGGAAGAGGGCGTGGCCCTTCATTTGAACAAACTTGAACCCCTTTTACCCATAGATACTTTATGAAAGGTTTGGTTGAAAATGGCCCAGTGGTTCTGGAGAAGAAGTCAAAAATGTGAAAAGTTTACAGACAGACGGACAGGCGGACTACAGACAAAATGTGATCAGAAAAGCCCACTTGAGCTTTCAGCTCAGGTGAGCTAAAAATTCTTTAAAACATCATATCTTAAGTTGAAAAGAAAAAATATGTCCATAGTTTAGTACATGGCCTAGTAAGCCCTAGTCATGTACGAAAGCTTTGCAGGAACATGAATTTACAGAAATTAAACAGGTTACACATGTACACGATACAAAAGCGTGGTCCATCTGCAACAAGTTCCACTGTTCATCGAAACAGAGTCAAATCTATTTCTTTTATGTTAAATGTCCAGGAAATCTTTTTACAAATAAACCCCTGTAATACACGCATTTCAACAAAAATGGACAGTTTTCTTAAAAAAGGAAGTTTTAAACAAACATGAACCATATTTTGTACTTGCATCACATTGTTATAAATAATTATGCATTAAAAAAACACGAAATCTATCATTTTAAGTGTGACCAACCATAAATTAAATTATCATAGTGCATTTACAAAATCAGCTAGAAACTCTACCATTGCAAGCAATAGCTTATGTCACCCCGAATTAAATCATAAGCTTTAAGATTGTTCAATGCTTAAAGAAGTGGGTATTCGTAGAAATAGCCCCCAGCCCACCCACACTTTCACATACAAACGAAACAAGTTACGCTTGCTAGGTTTGGTCGAACCAAAGTTAGGGGAAGCGAAGGTAGAGCTTGCAAGACTTTGAACGACTGTTCAAGGTTCACGTCAAAACACGGCTGAAGCAAAATAATTCCTAAATTTTCCTCTCTTCAATTCGGACATTTCTGCATTGAACATGGGCTGATTTTTTTGTGAGATGACAAACTATGCGTAAACTTTCTTAATTTAGCAGAATCGTGAACATTTCAGGCGCGTTGATAGTTTTGTCTATAGTAGTGATGAGGCCTTTACCCACCTGCGGGAGCGGATCCAAGGATTTTCAATTAATAAAAATGATGGAAATTAAGTTTCAATAATTCTAAATATCATTGAATGAAATTATTCACATGCAAGTAATACATTCACAAGAAAACTCAAAATGTTAATGAATTCAACTGACAATCAAAAATACACGTATTAAATATAATAATCATAAATTCTATAGAAAAACAGAAGAAGAATGAATGCTGGTAAAATATCAGATCACATCAGCGGCACTGAATTTTATTCATGAAACCCTTAAGATCTTCCCTATCAATTATATCTGCATATTCTAGTTTCGAAAGGGGGAGGGGGTGAATTGAAAATAGACATGTAAATTAACCATCATTTTGTAGTAAGTATGAAGCCTTAGCATTTTGAAAACTTTATGACGAAGGGCTGTTTGTAATATGAAGGTCAAGGTCATTTTATTTAGAATCAAAGACATTAAACAAAACTTGCTTTGTTAACAATTACAGAAAATGACACAGAGGAAAAGAGGGGATAAAACACTAAATATGCCATTGTCTTCTTTATTTGAAAAGAGGTAAATGCAAATGCGCCCACAAGATACATACCACATACAATCCTTTTATTTAATAGAAACTCAATGCTATGACAATATGAAGGTTTTCCGTGTCTTCTCCGTCACCAGAGAAGTCATACCTCTACACTTCATACTATGTGTATTACTCCAGTAGAGTCCCCTTAGACTACATAAATGAAAATAAAATGAACAGTTTGTAGTATTAAAGGAAACGCTGGTCCTACGCTTTTTGGAAATGCTAAGATACTTAATTTCTTCTTAATCATATCAAATCAAGAAATTGGTAATATATAGCTTCATAGATGGACCTTTACGTACCCTAGGATTATTACGGAAAAAAAAATTAGGAAGACAAAGAAATTGAATAAATCACACTTTTAAAAAGATGAAACATAAACGTTTACGCAACGTTTTTTGGCCACTCGTTTCAGGAAACTGCACTTAAATTATTTTTTTTTCTATTCTAATGGCAACGTTGGAGAAAATTTTAAATGAGATTTGCGAAACTACGAATAGTGATTATTATTTCTGTGTAAGGTTTCAATAATATTATCAAAGCCTTTTACGAGAACATTCAAGGACAAAATCAAGTGTGGAAACATCGCGAAATAGATGACTCGACTGCAGTTTTTTTTTTTTAATTAATCGTTCTTTTTGTCCATTCTGTTCCATTATTTTGCAGGAAATCACTTTGATAGGAGGCGACTAACAACTCATTAAAGTTACAAAACAGATTTTATGAAAAATTACTGGAAAAAAACAACGAAAGAAGATGGGCGTGTTTGGCGTGTGATCTGCAGGAATAAGGCGTACGAAACATTTATAGTTTAAATGTCTACGATTTGGTCGGCTGACCACAGCTGGACATACTTTAAAAGTCACGCACATGGGAAAATGTTACATTTAGTTTGAAATACTTTGTCAAATATGATATATCAGTCCGCTTATCTTAATAATTACTACATGTAAAACTTAGTAACGCTTGACATAAATAATAAACACGTATGGGGTATAATTAAATGCAATTACAAGTACATGTAAATATTAAAGTATCAGTAGGTTGGAAGAATTAATTTCGCTTTCGGTGCAACAGAACCAGAATTTATCTATCTGAAAATAAATCAGTACATAAAACTAAACTGACAAAAGAATTGATTGTTTGCACCCAAAAAAAGGGTAATAACAAGCTTATCTTTTAAAAAGATTGGTGAGCTAGCGCTGTAGCATAATAAAATACAGAAGAAGATATCCGAACCATTTGTTTAATTTGCTGAATCGATTAATTATTAATAGGAAGGCAGATTGGTGCACTGGGGGTTGAGTTTGTGTGTGTGTGTGGGGGGGGGGGTTGTCACAATTCAGAATGGTGAATCTAAAAGTGTGCTTCACGCCGGCAATGGCATAACTCCTAACTGTGCTTTAAGCATTCTGTATTTTACTGTAATTTCAATTTCGAGGTGAAAAATAAAAGGTCAGTAGAACCAATGAGCACCTTCGGGCCTTTCCGGCAAGCTCGGAAAACATATCCGAGGTTGCCGCGGTTTTCTGAGTTTGCCGGAAAGATCCATGAAGGTAGATTAGAAAAGCTATGTATTCATTACAACTTTAGAAATAACAGTCTTGGTTTTATAAGACCCGAGTTACTGTTACTTTTGTTCATTTACGTGCAGGTTATAGACAACAAAACACGAAACTTCAGATCATATGTATTTTCAGATGATAAACACTAAACTGCCATGTCTATCCGACATACTCTGAAAAAGATTTTTGTTGTTGTTGTTGTTTTTTCCGAGCTTGCCGGAATTATCCACTAAGGTGGTAAAACTGTAAGGGAAGCTAGATGTCTAGAATCTTGGCATTATATGGCCAAATTTTTTCTTGTACTTTTATGTGTAGGTTAGACAATAAATAAAAAAAAATTCAGAATCAGGATCTAGACTGGTATTGACTGTCTCTAATCTACGAAATGTATATCGCGCATATCAGACAGGAAAGGCCAGTGTAAATTCGGATCATTTCTATTTTTGTATGACAAAACGAAATTGTTATCGTACAGTCTGTCTACAGTAGTTTTCCCAGAATCCTCGACCGTGAAGTGGAGCATGCGTATTTCAGAAATATAGACTAACGTAGTTGCTAGCGCTCGAGAGCGCTAGCAATAACGCTCCATGCGAGGATCGAACCAAAAATATTTCTTTTCATTGCACTGGACGGGTAACGCATACTACTGAGCTATCAACGCTACATACACTTGATTGTTTTTAAAGCGACAATGAAGCACCGCATTTACACATTGGAATTTTTTTGAAAAAAGTTCATTTTTTATTGTCTCTGGGTCTTCTCTCCATTTCTTACAAATGTTTGTTTGTTTCTTTAAATTAAAATGCACACAAATAACGTTTCAAAATCATGGAGAGATGACCCAGAGATAGTACATTTTTAGAAAAACGTGTTTAAAAATGTAACATTTTGTACCAAATGACTCGTCTAGCCAATTTTCAAGTTCTTTTTTAGCAAAACAAAAAACAATATCGGAAAAATATGTCCCTTTCCTATTTCACAGGAACCCGATTCATCAAAAGAATGCTAAAATTTTATGTGACAGATCAATGAAATTTTCACTTTTCAAGTGCGCCCAGATTCCTGCCGAATGCCAATCAAAAGCGCCCTCGTTCTTTAGAAATTCCCATGGCAACAGTGACAAATCTGAAAATTTTATAGGGTTTTAGCACAAGTACAGTTGGTGATTATCATTTCTATAAAGTTTCAGTAAGTTTGTCCAGGTCATTTTCTTTTCGGACTCCCTAGCAATTTATCCCAAAATTGGTCATGTGACATCAACTTTTCAATTACTTGTATTTTCCGTCCATCCTTTTCCAATTTTTTGGCCTAAATTTTTTTGACAGGAGGCAAGGAACACTTCTTTAAAGTTTCAAAAAGATTTAATTAAAAGCAGCCGAGAAAGATGAAATTTAAAAAATACCACTTTTTATCAGTTTCCATGGGAACGGTTGCCATTTTGAAAATTTTGAAAAAAGATTACACATCTTTAGTTAGTGATCATTATGACAGTGGAGTTTCATCAAGATTGCAGAGACATCATCGAGAAATTGTGGGGACCGTGTTACTGGTCGAACAATAGCAATATGTCTCCCTGACTTCGTCTGGGGTGACATAATAATGAATTTCATAAATGAATATTCTGTTAACCCTTGATATAAACATATCTCTACTTGCATTTTTATGAAAATAAAATCTCGTTTTAACAGGAAAGAACAGAATATACATAACATACATTTATAACCCAAGAGTAGTTAACACTCGTTTGTAATAGTGTTGTTTCCGACGTATTTCATTTTACCAAATAAAATCTGCAAAAATTAAAAAAAAATTGCAGATTTTATTTGGTAAAATGAAATATGTTAGAAAGGACAATAGCTACATGTATATACTAACCCTGAATCAATAAGAATATTTGAAGATTGGTAAGACTATTTTGATGTTGCATTTTAAAGCTTTTTTATGCAGAATTCGAAAGATTTAATTGTTTGCTTTTTTTTTTTTTTAAGAATTGAAATTTCCAAAAATTTTATGACTGTATGAGACCTCCTCAGGGTTATATGACACAGAATGACAATCCTTCTACTAAAGCGGAATCACAGGGTTTACATTCTGTTGATCCTTCTTGATCTTGGTAGTGACCAATTGGGCATGGTATGCATGAACTAGACCCACTTGTGCTACTGAATTTTCCTGGTGGACATTGTTGGCACATAGTGGCACCTTCAGTATTACTGAATGTTCCTGCTGGGCATTCTTTGCAAACGGAGGAACCAACGTTGTCACTAAATTTTCCAGTAGGACAGAACTCACACGATAATGCCCCAGCACTATCGGCGTACTTACCATGTGGACATGGTATGCAGGTACTAGCGCCATCTTTCGGGTTATACCTGCCTACTTGACATTGTGAACAACTCGTTTGTCCGGTATTGCTTTGATAATGCCCCGCCAAGCATGGTTTGCACCAACTCTGTCCTTCATTCTGTGTGTAGTTTCCCGCTGGACAGTTAATACAAGAATCTGATCCCATTTTACCAATGTGTGGCAAATATTTCCCTGCTGGACATTTTTTACAAGAAGAACCTTCTAAATAACGACCGTACCAGCACTCTGAAATAGAAGGATTCTTTATATTAATTTTACCCATTGTGGTTGGCCATCAAATGGAAGAAATACCCAATTTAAATTCATTTGAGACAATTTATTTTTGAATTCTTTTCGTCAGGCATATTCAAACATTTTCACAGGAATTAAAATATCAGAAAAATGAATGCTATAATAATATATCCCAGTCCCGATTCTGGAACTCATTTGTGAACGAGGTATCACTATACTGATTACTTAAAACGTGTGGTAAATGTACAGTGTATCTTTTTATAATACAAGAAACCAGGAACATTTTCCCCCTATTAGACTCCAGTATTTGAAATGATTAAAAGTGCTTGAATAATTGAGGAAAGGTGTAATTATTATGTAAATAATTGGAAGCAACATATATACCTCGAAATGTTTTATATCAAATGACCAGTTTTAATGATTCTAAGCTTATTGTTGTCTAGCTATAGTTCAGACATGATCAGCTACGTTTTACCGTATAATTCCAAAATGAGATCACCTATTGAGGGATTTTGATATGTAACTTTTTCCAAAATTTTCAACTAGCAAAGTTTAATACTTTTTTCCAGCAATAAAATTAGATGTAAAATGGAATGGGAAGTGTTTTAAAACAAAATATAGCATGAGAAGTATACGAAACTAACAAACGTGAAATGTCCCAATAAACGGGAGGGATGGGAACATGTGTTTTTTTTAAAAAAAAAGAAAAAAAAAAGATACTGTTCCTCTATTCCCTACCGCACATCAATGCCGATACTATCAGCAGAGCTAATGGTACTTACGACATGCACTAAAGGACTTTTTCCACTTTCCATTTGTATCACAGGTGAAATGTTGCTTGCTTGGGGTTGGCGGGATTGTACAGTCAAACCAGTGTTGTTTGCCCACTTCCCTCCTTACATTCCGTGGAGTTATGTCAGGTATAACACTAGACGATCCACATTCTACAACCCAAAACTTCAGCGTTAATTTATTTCAAGCAAACCAAAAAAAAAAAAAAAAAAAAAACAAAATAAATAAATAAACAAGAGGCCCAAGGGCCTTAACGGTCACCTGAGTATAATACAACAATTTAGAAGTTAAATACACTGATAGATGAAGCATTGTTGCCCTAGCCCCCCCCCCCCCTCCTCAAGAACCCCAAAAACTGAGGCCATATATTTAAAAATTTTGGAAGAGGCATCCTTGTCTATCATAATCATGCACTCAGTTTGTTTAAATAATCTCCAGTAGCAGAGAAGAAGTTTTTCAAAGAATCAATGCATTTTCACTATATAATCAATAGAGCCCCGCCCTAAGACCAGAACCCCTGACCCTGGGGTCATGAAATTCACAATTTTTGAAAAGGCATCCCTATGCGTTTAAATAGTCTCCAGTAGCAGAGAAGAAGATTTTCAAAGAATCAATGCATTTTCACTATATAATCAATACAGCCCCACCCTAACACCAGAATCCCTGACCCTGGGGCCATGAAATTCACAATTTTTGAAAAGTCATCCCTATGCATCATAACCATGCACTTAGTTTGTTTAAATAATACCCAGGAGCAGAGAAGAAGATTTTCAAAAAATTAAAGCATTTTCACTATATAATCAATAGAGCCCCGCCCTAACACCAGAACCCCTGACCCAGGGGCCATGGCTTTCACAATTCTGGAAGAGGCCCACCTCCTCATCATAACTACGTACTTAGTTACTTTATTAAATACCAAGGAGCAAAGAAGAAGATTTTCAAAGAATTAATGCTTTTTCACTATATAATTTATAGAGCCCCGCCCTAACACCAGAACCCCTGACCCTGGGGCCATAAATTTCACAATTTTGGAAGAGGCACTCTTGCTCATCATAACTATGTACTTAGTTCCTTTATTTAATACCCAGGAGCAGAGAAGAAGATTTTCAAAGAATTAATGCATTTTCACTATATAATCAATACAGCCCCGCCCTAACACCAGAACCCCTGACCCTGGGGCCATGAATTTCACAATTTTGGAAGAGGCACTCTTGCTCATCATAACTATGTACTTAGTTCCTTTATTTAATACCCAGGAGCAGAGAAGAAGATTTTCAAAGAATTAATGCATTTTCACTATATAATCAATACAGCCCCGCCCTAACACCAGAACCCCTGACCCTGGGACCATGAATTTCACAATTTTGGAAGAGGCACTCTTGCTCATCATAACTATGTACTTAGTTCCTTTATTTAATACCCAGGAGCAGAGAAGAAGATTTTCAAAGAATTTATGCACTTTCACTTTATGATCTTTATAGCCCCACCCTGGGGCCAGAACCCCTGACCCTGGGGCCATGAATTTCACAATTTTGGAAGAGGCACTCTTGCTCATCATAACTATGTACTTAGTTCCTTTATTTAATACCCAGGAGCAGAGAAGAAGATTTTCAAAGAATTAATGCATTTTCACTATATAATCAATACAGCCCCGCCCTAACACCAGAACCCCTGACCCTGGGACCATGAATTTCACAATTTTGGAAGAGGCACTCTTGCTCATCATAACTATGTACTTAGTAACTTTATTTAATACCCAGGAGCAGAGAAGAAGATTTTCAAAGAATTTATGCACTTTCACTATATGATCTATATAGCCCCACCCTGGGGCCAGAACCCCTGACCCTGGGGCCATGAATTTCACAATTTTGGTAGAGGGCTCAATGCTTATTACAATGATGCCAACAGTTTGACTGCTTCATGTCCGGGAGTAAAGAAGAAGATTTTTAAAGATTGCATTATTTTTGGTGGTTTTAGCCCCACCCCTCAGGCCCCGGGGGGGCAGGGACCATGAAATTCACAATTTTTGTTCTCCTTCACCCATAGATGCTATATACCAAATTTGGTTGAAATTGGTTGAGCGGTTCTAGAGAAGAAGTTAAAAATGTTCAAAAGTTAACGCACGACGGACGACGCACGACGACGGACAAAAACAGATAGCAATAGGTCACCTGAGTGACTCAGGTGACCTAAAAACGAACAAACATTTTCCACATATCTTTGAGGTTGAAAAGGTATACACTGACAGATAAATAAAGTATGTGATGAAGTTCTAACACTACAAAAGTAATAAAAAAGAATTAATGAAATTTCAATAAGTATGAACTTAGCATGGAATTGATTTTTTTGTCGCGAACTCTCTGTCAAAAGCATTCATTTCAAACTAAAGTGCGTCTACTAGACTTTTGTCAATTTTTTTTTATTCGATTTAAGATTTTGACCAAAATTTGTAGAAGTATTTCAAAAATTAAGGACCCTCTATACACCAATGAAAAATGTTTTTTTTTAGGCTCTGAGAAAATTATACCATATAAAGATATAAATATTGAGTTTATCTTCTTAATTTTCAAAATAGGGTACCTGCCATTTATCCCCAGGAAAAATATTCAAAGACAATGAATTGTTAGTGAACTGAAATCACTGTTGCTTACTTAAATGGCAAAAATACATGCAAATAAGGTGTTCAATGAATTCAACTAGACCAAATGAAATGTTTAGAATGTTTGAATTGATTACAAATTGAATAATTTATATTCCAATTTATTTCATTTTAGATCTAAGGGCGGATCACTCTAACTGCATAAAAACACCATGGAATTGGAATTCTTTAGTGTGCAGTGTACAGAGGGTTCTTAATACAAATAATTTGAAATAAAAAAGGAATATATCATGGCATACTTCAAAATTATTTAATTTAAATATAAAAGTGAAAAAAAGGGCCATGGAGCAAGTCAAAATTTTGCGTCCCTTCGATAATTTTTCACTCATTGAGACTCACTACTTGCCGGTGAAGGACTGCAAATTAAGACCTGTACTTGGCGCCTACGGCTTTTGAGCAGTTAGGGATCTTTTTCGTGCCAGCACCTACATGCGACACGGGACCTCGGTTTATATGGTCTCATCTGAAGGACTGGCCTCCGTGATACATAGTGGATTCGAACCGCGACGTATGGATCAACTCCCTATTACTCCGCAACTCTAGAACAAACGATATAACCACTGCGCCACGTAGGCGCAAAATTTAGTAAATAAATGTAATCGCAATACACAATTAATGTCTATAGTGCTATCTCTCTAACATGGCGTTAAAACAAATATAATAATTAAACATTCAACTTGAGTATTAAAGGCTTCATCATTTCATATGCTAAATTGTGATGTTATATCGTTTCGTTGAAAAGAAATCAATTGCAGAGCAGAGGTGATCCACATTGAATACGGCTAAAAAGCAAAAAAGAAAGATTACATCGCAGAACGTCTCGAAGCACCGAGTAGCGATACAGTTTTGTGTTGCATACGGGAAAGGATCATTCTCTATAAGGCCGTTTTGCGGCCTACAATGACTTCAAATTTTCAAATACTATTTTTTCCCTTAAAACCTGCATGAGTCAGTAGGCTAATGTTCCAATTTAATGACAAATGTTGATTGGTTAATGATACAAAAGTATTTGTTATGATATAGGGTCACAAAGTAAGGTACTATCGGTCCGCATTAGCATTAGGGTAATGGGAAAACTCAAGAGGGTTGGTGTGTTAGGTAACTCCTACACATGTCATAACCACCTTTAACCAACACCAAAATTTGCATGTAAACTTCTTATGAACATAAAAAGTGACTACCAAATTATCAACTTGGTTAAAGATGGTTATGACATGTAAATAAAAACTTTTCGCTTCATTTTTACGATATTTGCAGGAAAAGCTAACTACTCACAATGAAGGATATCAGCTTATGTAGATTATTTCTTATTATAAACTTTCACTTAGAGTACATGTTTCTATTGATTTACTAAGAATTAATATAAGCCATGCATGTTTACTCAAAAAAGGTAAACTTTTTAATTAAAAAATCTAAAATCAAAGGACTGAAATGACTGGTTGTTATGAAATTACGTGAAGACAAGTCTCATTGAACTATCTGCTAGAAATAAAGAAATTTTTTTATAGACTATAAGGCATAAATATAAATTACTTATTATAATTATTATTATTTATAAGGATAGTTTAGTTTATCTATGCTACTTCTTTGTATTTGTATTTCCTTAGGAGTACTGCATATTTTTTATTAGTTCTAGAAATGATAAAAGCTATTTTTGTTGTGGCGGGAAGATGCATTTGCTATTTGTGTTATAAACTTAATTTTTCTTTGGGTACACATGTTACCTTTATAGATAGAGAATTACTGATGGGATGGTTTCATAATGGAAATTCTCGCCTCGACCTTTTAGAAGGACACTTTTCCGTATGAGTGACATAGCATCCATGTATTTTGTTAACTGGGTGTTGAGAAGACTCAGTCTATTCATCACACTTCTTTTGTAGCATCAATATAAGTTATGAGAACAGTAGTTCTGTCTTAGAAAATAAAACGCCAAGGAGGAAAAGGGTTCCTAAATGTCACGTGATTGAAAATTGAATGTTGCTTTACGTCATTTTAGAATTTTTCTCCCAGATAAAGAGATCATCCACTTAAGGTGAAGTGTCACAATTTTGATTTATGCATGGTTTCAGTACTGAGCAACACCTACCGTGGGACAGGACCTCCTTCTTTAAGATAATATCCAAAAGACCCATGACTTTTACTTTCAATGCTGAGGACTTAGCAAAGGAACTGTCACTACCCGTGTTAAACACCTTAGTTCTTGACGCAGCACGGAAAGAGAATTTAATCCTCAGGTTTCAAGAGTGCGAAAGGAGTGTCATCTCTTACGGTCCATTTTGTACCTGGGATGTTGTAGAACTCTGTTAGTCCATGGATATACTAAAACTTCTGATATGCGTAGTGGAAGGAACTATTGAAAATCTACTCCATTTTATGGAGTGCCGTGGGGGGGGGGGGGGGACTCGACTTTTATACATACATTTGTGTATTATAGTTTAGATAACATTTTAAATTAAATATATTGTTTTACATGCGTAATTAAATTGAATC